CAGCTTGCTCCACAGCATCTTTTTAATGTTTTACTTTACTTATTTATTTATTTATTTATTTATTTTTGAGACAGAGTCTAGCTCTATTACCCAGGCTAGAGTGCAGTGGCACAATCTCAACTAACTGCAACCTCAGCCTTCTGGGTTCAAGCAATTCCCCATGCCTCAGCCTACTAAGTAACTGATGTTACAGGCATGTACTGTCACATCTGGCTAATTCTGTATTTTTAGTAGAGATGGAGTTTCACCATATTGGCCAGGCTGGTCTCAAACTCCTGACCAGTGATCTGCCAGCCACCACCTCCCAAAGTGCTGGGATTACAGGCCTGAGCCACTGCGCCTGGCCTCCACAAGTATCTTTAAGCAATTGACCTGTTTAAAAAAAAAAAAAGAAAGAAAAAAGAAAAAGTCCAAACTGGAATTTGTCAGTGGTGCACTGTGGGTGTGATTTAGCAAGAATAATGCCATCAAACTCTAAACAGCAGACCCATTCCCAAAGGAATGACCTGGACCCTATCTTGCAAGATTAAAGAATTCCTGAGCATTTATCTATTTTAAGTTAACTAGTGTTCATGTTCCTGTGCGTTTGTTTTTGACCCTTCACTTTAATTTTTTCAATTAACCAATAAGCTGGTACTCAACTATCAAATAGAAATTCTACCTTAATGTGCAAACAAACCAAATACATCAAAAACTAAATATTTTACCACTAAAAGTTCAAGACCCAAGCTGAGGGACAATAATAATAAAAATAAAATCAAGAACTGTGGTTTTAATGACAATAAAGGAGGCACCCCATGGCTGCAGGTGGTGATGGAAAGGCAGACGCCAGGTGGGGAGGACTCATGGGAACAGCAGGCTCACATCAGAGCCCGCACCTAACTGCTGAGCACTCGGGTGGGTCCTCAGGATGCTTGCAACTGTGAGAGCCACTCGTTGACATCAGGCCTCACATGTTGATTACAGGTGAAGGCACTGACAAAATATCTAGCATAAAATGATGGGTTTGCTAAACATTAAACAGTTTTTCAGTTTCTCTGGTCATTGAGGACCTTGTATAAGGCTGAAGATCTAATTTAAAAACTGGTATCCTGAAGTTATTGTGTGAACATTGATTTCTTAGTTTGGAAGATAAAGGTGGGAAACGGATAGGGGAGAGGCATTCAGAAGTATTCGGGGTGCAGTGCATGTTGCATGCAGTCTACTTTTGAACGATTTGGGGGAAAACTGGTGTGTGTGTGTGTGTGTGTGCGTGCGTGTGTGTGTGTGTGTGTGTGCGTGTGTGTGTGTGTGGAGAGTGAGAGAGAAAGAGACGAGAGACAGAGAGATGGAGTCGGGGGACGTCACAGTTGGTGAACTTAGATGAGAGAAGATACCAGTGTTCACTCTATTGTTTGTCAACACTTTTGAGGGTTTAAATTTTTTCCAAAAGAATTTCTTTTAATCCAAGCAACTAACAAATAATTAGCCTTTGTTAATTTTAACATGTGTTAAAATAGCCAAAGCCTCTGGTTCCATTTTTTGCCATTTTGATCATTGTTGTTCATAATTCATACATATGGAAAATGTCTTCATCATGGCATCCCATCAAATAGCCATGCAATTCACATGCCTTCAAATTGGATGCAAATAAACCAGCCGTCCATCCACTCATTGATTCACCCAATCAATCCACAAACATTTGTGTAGGACGTCTTATGTGCCAAAGATGCCAATGTGAATACGACTGCACAGTTTCTTCTCTCCTGGGACAAACAGTCATTGGAAAAAATAGACACCAAATATCTAACTGCAAAGGCTCCATGGGAGTGTATAGGAAAAAGGGCCCCGTCTAGTCTGGAGAAGATCGACAAACACCTACTTGCTTAAGCTAAGATCAAATGATTTCCAGTAGTGAATGGTGAACATGACTCTTACTCCAAGAAATAAAATTAAGCCTGTCTTGAGGGCCCCACACCTTCCCATACATTAGAGAATTGTCAGTCTGCTTTTCCTCCCTCTGTCCCTAGACACTCAGAATCCAAATGCTGTGTGGCATCTGCAGAGCAGAAGAATCAGAGATGATCATTGTCTATTTGAGAACAGCGGCCAGCGACTCCATGCACACGTGGGCCCAGGGTCCATGCACACGTGGGCCCAGGGTCCATGCCCAGGCTGAGTTTCCTTGCCCAGTGTCTCGTACCCTTGGGCATAGGACTCAAGCTTCTCTTTCAGAGCCCCTGCTGCCTCCTCCAGATGCCGTGACGTAGTAGCATGCTGGCGGATGGAAGGTGGCCATGAGGACTTGCATTTCTGACAAGTCTCCAGCCGACGCTGCTGTCTGGGAATCCACATTTTGAGTTTTAGTAGAGTATACTTAAAGATGTGATTGAAATGAGCATTAAAGTTTAAAACCCCAGAAAGACAAGATTAAAAAGATTAAAAACTTTGAAGAGACTATAGATTTTCCTTCTCAGTCAGTTACTTTCTGTTTTTTAAATTTTAATAGGTTTGGGGGTACAGGTGGTATTTGGTTACATGGAAAAGATCTTTAGCAGTGATTTCTGAGATTTTGGTGCACCCATCACCTGAGCAGTGTACGCTGTGCCCAGCGTGTCGTCTTTAATCCCTCACTCCCCTTTTACCCTTTCCCCAAGTCCCCAGAGTCCATTGTGTCATTCTTACGCCTTTGCGTACTCATAGCTTAGCTCCTAATTCTAAGTGAGAACATACGATGTTTGGTTTTCCATTCCTGAGTTACTTCACTTAGAACAATGGTCTCCAATTCCATCCAGGTTGCCATGAATGCCATAATTTCATTCTTTTTTCTTCTTCTTCTTCTTTATTGAGATGGAGTTCCACTCTTGTCGCCCAGGTTGGAGTGCAATGGCACAGTCTCGGCTCACTGTAATCTTCGCCTCCCAGGTTCAAGCAATTCTCTGGCTTCAGCTTCCTGAGTAGCTGGGATGACAGACATGTGCCAACCACACCTGGCTAATTTTTTATTTTTAGTAGAGATGGGATTTCACCGGGTTCCCAGGCTGGTCTTGAACTCCTGAACTCAGGTGGTCTGCCCGCCTCAGCTTCCCAAAATGTTGGGATTACAGGAGTGAGCCACTGTGCCTAGTCTATTTCATTCCTTTTTATGGTTGAGAAGTATTACATGGTATATACGCCACATTGCCTTTATCCACTTGTTAACTGATGGGCATTTGGGCTGGTTCCATACTTTTGAAATCTTGAATTGTGCTTTTATAAATAAGTGTGTGCAAGTACCATTTTCATATGACTTCTTTTCCTCTGGGTAGATACCCAGTAGTTACTTCCTATTCCTATAAATTGCAGTGTATATAAACATGATAAGTGTCAAATGATGAATGTCTCAAAATTTCTATGCATTCCCTTCCTGGAATGAAAGCAAGGGAAGACTAAGGAAAGATATTCAATTAAAGATATTTTTGTTTGTTTGGGTTTTTTGTTGTTGTTGTTTACTTGTTTTGGTTGCATAAATAGAATTCTCCACCTTAGGAATATCTAGCATTTGTTTTTTATTTTCCCTACTAACCAGCCAGTATATCCCCTAGACTTGCCTGGCTTCTGTTATCAATATATTTTCTGGAAAAAGAAAATTAATTTTCAGTTAATATTAACCTGAAAAAATAATAAAGCAAAGGATTAATGTATAACCATATAATATGTAGCATGTATGTCAAAACACTTTTTTTTTTTTTTTTTTGAGACACAGTCTCTCTCTGTCACCCTGGCTAGAGTGTAGTGGCATGATCTCGGCTCACTGCAACCTCCACCTCCCAGGTTCAAACAATTGTCCTGCCTCAGCCTCCTGAGTAGCTGGGATTACAGGAGCCCATCACCACGCCTGACTAATTTTTGTATTTTTTAGTAGAGACGGGGATTCACCAGGTTGGCCAGGTTGGTCTCAAACTCCTGACCTCAAGTGACCTGCCCGCCTCAGCCTCTCAAAGTGCTAGAATTATAGGCATAAGCCACTGTGCCTAGCCAAAACACATTTTAAGTCTATTATTTGAGACTATTTCTTTATTTGTTCTTCTGCTGGCAGAGAAAAGTTTCAAAAATTTGATGTCCATTGGAGCTGGTATGTGCACAGGTGTGAGGGCTGGGGTGTAAGCATATCACAATAACTAGTTAGGTAGGATAAGGCATGCCTAGCTCACAGCTAAGTTTTTTTTGTTTTGGTTTTGTTTTTATAAGAAAAAACATTCTGTTGCTCAAAATATTTGAGAATTAAAAAAAAAGAACATTCTGATATTAGCATTAATGAATTAGTTTGTTCTCCTTAAAGATGCATAATGGGTATTGAATGTCTTCTCAGTCTTAAACATTATTTCAGGCAAAGAAAACCTTAATATCACCTATAGAATATATTACGTATTAATCTACAGAAATACATGTAAGGTTGTTGCAAAATTTATTGTGGTTTTTGCCACTGAAAGTAATGGCAACAAAAAGAAATGTCCAAGTAATGGCACCAACCAAATACATTGTGTTCTACATACAAGGTACATATACATGTATACAGTATACACATATATGCATATACATATATGAACATTATGTAGAACCTAGCAATTTGCCACTATTTGACCACTTTCTGCCTATGACAGTAGCAATTTCTTATGATTCAATTAGATATTATTCTGAAAAAAAGGATAGGTGACTTCATAGTTTCATAAATAAATTATCAGGATGGTACAAAAGTAATTAAAAGTAATGGTAAAAACCATAATTACTTTGGTACCAGCCAATACTTAAAATTCCCAAGTACAATACAAATGATGTATTCTTCTCCGACATTTCTGCCACATGCAACATCTTCTCAATTTTCTGCTCTACTTCTATTGATCTATTGCTACAAGTCACCTGGCTCCTAATGGATAGTGTCCAATAGTCAAAGAACAGAGAAATGTATTTGCTTTTACCCTGTTGATTTGGATGTATGCAGCTGTTTCTAAACAAAACTCTTTCTCTTTCTCTCTTCTTAGGGCTGTATCTGTAAAGACAAGGGCCAGTGCTTCTGTGACGGAGCCAAAGGGCAGAAGGTAAAAACAAAACCTAATACTGCTTCTTTATGCTATAAAACTCTAGTAGCTTACTGTCTTCTTTCATTAGTGGCAGAAAGGTCAGCAGTATGTTGTTCTATTTCCCAAATCCAATGTTAAAGTAATTGTATATAAACATTAACCTTAAAAAAGAAAAAAAAAAGTCGTCTAGGAAGCTTCCAATACCTTGTATATACACTGGCAATTAAATTATAACTCTTGGTCTGTAAAGAATAAGTAGCAAATGAGGGAGAAAAAGAAAGTTTATTAACTTTTTTTATTATTAACTTTATATTAACTATTTACAATGTTGCTAAACACCAGAGAAGAACTGAAAACGATTTGGTTCATTCACTTTGACAAAAAATAAACATTTAAATTCACAGATTTTTGTCCTGCAGCATTGGTTCAACATTGCCCCCTGGTGGAGATATTCCACAGCAGCACGCTGGTTGAACCAAAAATTCCGCAGAGGGAAGTAGCTCCATTGCAGAATTCAAGAAAAAAAGGAATGCCGTGAAATCTCATTAATTCGCTCCATTAACTTGCAATTTGTGATAATTAAGATAGAGGCAGAACTAAAGTTTTCTTCTTTGTTTACGAAGCCCTTTCTTCAGAGACACTAATTAATTGTTTAACAATACTGAAGGATGACTATTTTAAAATGTTTTAAGAACATATTTAAGCTCTTTATCTAAAATAATTTCTATATAATGTGTGTGCTAATTATACTTTTTATTATACTTATTTACAATTATTTCATAATTCACATGCAGTTGGATTTAGTTTTTTTTCTTGAATCTATGAATGTCTTAGAAGTCAGGTTCCCATTGGGAAGCATCTTTTCTGGGATTCACCTTGCACTCAAGAAGCATTTATTGAGTTTATACTATTTGCAAGATGCTTTCTAGGGTGTATGAAAGTAACTAAGTAGTGAGAGGGGTCTAGCACATTCTTTTCTCTTCTTACTGAGTGTGTGTGCACACACACAATGTAAAATAGCTGACTTGTTCTTTTTTGTTTTAATTTGCCAATTGTGTCACTAAATTGACCCAATTGACCAAATCAGCCGGTGGCCTTTACTGTTGAAAAGTACAGTCGGCCCTCCTTATCCGTGGGTTTCGAGTCCTCAGATTCAACCAATGGCATATTGAAAATACTTGGGGGGAAATAATAAAAAATAGCAATACAACAATAAAAAATAATACAAATTTTAAAATGCAGTGTAACAACTATTTACAAAACATTTGCATTGTATTAGGTATTATAAATCACCTAGAGATTTAAAGTATATGGAAGCTTGTGCTAGGTTATATGCAAATACTATGTCATTTGGTATGGTTTTTGGATATGGAGAAGGTCCTGGAACCAATCCCCCACCGACACTGAGTGACAAAGGTAATTCCAAGATCCACAACCATGGAAAGATGTTTGTTGGTAGAACCATGTCAAGCCTTGGGCTTAAAGTACTTTCACTCACTTTTGCTAGGTACTTTCCCCTAATATTATCTGACCCCTTCTAAAACATTATTGAGCTCAAACTTTTTGGTTATGCCACCCTTGCTACTTCGATTGCATCTCCTACACAAATAGCAGATTGAATTACTAACTCCTGTATAATCAGGAAAGGGCTGAGACGCATAACCTGCCTGGTGGCGTTCTTTCAAGCTACATAATTATGTACACTCCCCAAACACCTTTTTGCACCTGACCCTCACTGTCTCTCCATCACACAACAAACACTCCACTAACCTTGATGTTTCTACCGGGGCTTTCCCTTTAATTTTTTATTCCTTCTCCCTTCAGCTCTACTCTACATAGCTCTACCATTTGGGGGAAATTAAAGTTTCTACAAGACCAAAGGCCACCACTTGCAAGTCTATAGACAAATGCTAACAACTGGTACCTTTCTGGTTACCTATATAGTCACTTCTGAGGGCTAATTATGGTTTTTTCAATCCAAAGAAAAAATATGCAGAGTCACATGAAGTCATAAACAAGAGAACATAATGGTTATTGGTGTGTTTATTGTTGGATAGTAGCTCTTCCGTGCATTTCTCATATTTTGGTTTTAACAGGGGGAAAAAGGCTTTCCTGGACCCCCTGGTTCTCCTGGCCAGAAAGGATTCACAGGTCCTGAAGGCTTGCCTGGACCACAGGGACACAAGGTATGTCATCCTGCAAGCCTGGAAAATCCCCAACCCACCCAACCCTCTTCATGCCTACCCCCTAGGCTGCTGCAAACCTGGTGAGAATTCTACATCTTAGCCAACTACTAGGTGCATGGTAAAGCCTGGTCTCCAGAATTAGCTGGCCACATAGAACCGGATCCTGTTCCAAGACTTGCAAATGATCATCATTAGCTCCAAATCTGTGGCTCAGATTCATCTCCCTCCCTGATTTACACAGTTTCTACATCTGCATCTGTTCCTAGCTCTTTTTCTCCTACATTAGAGCATGAGAGCTCTTTTTGCTTCTATTCAAGACCTGTCCAGCCACCTGTGCCTCCATCCTTGGGATTCCTTGTTCCACAAGGTGCCTCCTCTCTCTCCGGACATTCCAGCTTTTCTTTGGTTATTGGCTTTTCTCTTTCAGTTCTTAAACATGCAAACATTTTCCCGTGATAATACAAAACTTCCTCTTCATCTTTTAGGTCTTGTGACCAAGGGACTGCCATCTTCTCACTGACTTTCCTTTGACTGTCAAACTTCTTAAAAGAACATGCTGCCTATAGTTCATCAGCTATTCAGTCCTCAGTGCTAATTTGCCTTCTACCACCTCTCCTCTGAAAACACTCCAGCAAAGATCACCAATGACCTTCAGGAGGCCAGTGTCAATACATACTTTGGTGCCTTAATCTGACCTGAACCCCTCTGCTTAGCTTCAAATTACGTGGCTCTCTCTCCACTCCTTGAAACACTTGTCTGTCTTTGTTTCTGTATTTCTGCTACCTCCCCATCTCTTTTCCTTCTGGTCCCTTAAACATCCAGAGTCTATGACCCTTCACACTCATCACGCATTCTTATCCTAAAGTCTGTGATACAGCAAAGAGCTTTGTTTAAATAAATACCCTAGAGGATTTACTAAATAACTGCATAACCACTGGATTTGCTGAGTACTCTTTCCTGCTGTGGACATTAGCTAGACTTAAGCCTGGCTTCTCACGCACCCACACATTCATTCCCCTGACTACTGGCCTCCAGCAAACTATAAATCAACTAATGAGCTACGAACAATAATTATAATTGATCTATACAGGGTCTTTGAAAAACTTCATAATATATTAGAATATGTATTAGAGGCCGGGCACAGTGGTTCACGCCTGTAATCCCAGTGCTCTGGGAAGCAGAGGCAGGAGGATCACGTGACCCCAGGAGTTTGAGGCCAGCCTAGGCAGCATAAGGAGATCCAGTTTCTAAAAAAAAAATACAAAAATCAGCCGGGTGTGGTGGCACATGCCTGTGGCCTCAGCTACTTAGGAGGCTGAGGTGGAAGGATTGTTTGAGACCTGGAGGTAGAAGCTGCAGTGAGCCATGATCATGCTACTGCACTGCAGCCTGGGCAATAGAGCAAGACCCTGTCAAAAAAAAAAAAAAAAGAATATATATGAGGACAATGTATGGAATATGTAAATAATAAAGCCACAGCCAACCTACTGCATATGTACTCTGTGTTTAGTATTAAGCCATCAATTTCTTTCTGGATCTCATTGACTCCTCACATCAATCCCACAAATCATGATTATGGTGACTTAGAACATGGTTCCCATAATTACCTCCACTACCTGGATGAGAAAACTTAACACAGCACATTAGAGTAATTCTTCCTGGGTCACGCAGCCCACAGGGAGCAAAATAAGAGTTCAAGCCTAGTTTTACATTGCGTGTGGGGTTGCCCTCACGCAAACAATTCTCCAACTCTCTGGATACCACCTGGTTACCTGACAATTCAATGATGACATTAAATACCTGGGGTTAGTGCAGATCCCATATGGTAAGGGCTCAGTCCCACAGAACTGTCCCCACTTCAGGACTAGTCATAAGTAGTCAGTCCTCAGTTACCCATAATTCTGTCCAACTTGGCTACAAATAAATCATGGGTTCCCATGGCCTCCTCCTCTGGTTTGATAATTTGCTAAAGAGACTCATAGAACTCATGGGAACATTTATCAGTTTATGAACAAGAGATGAAGAGATACATCAGAGGAGGTCCAGAGGATCTTAAGTCCAGGAGCTTCTGTCACCATAGAGTTAAGGTGCACTATCTCCTGGAACGTGGCTGTTCACTCACCTAGAAGCTCTCTGAATGCCATGCTTTAGGGATTCTTAAGGAGGTGTCATCATTTGGGCAGGATCAACTATAAACTCAATCTCCAGCTCCTCTTTCCTCACTGAAGTGTGCGGCTGGAGCTGAAAGTTTCAAGCTTCGAATCTTGGCTCAGTCTTCCTGATGACCAGCCCCCATCTGGGAGCCCACCATGAGTTGCTGCTTAAGAACAAAAGACACTGCTATCACCCAGGACATTCCAAGGAATTTAGAAGCTCTGAGTCAAGAACTGAGGTCAAACATCAAATATTGAACAAAAGATGATCTTTATGCTCCTATCACTCAAAATATTAGAAGGGTTTTGGGAGCTCTGTGTCAGGAAGCAAAGGCATTGAACAAATATGTATTTCTTATGTCACATACGTGATGCCAGAATCAAACTCTTGAAACCAGAGAAACTAAATCCACACCCACAGCTTACAGGTAAAAATGCAAGAGCTTGCTGTTTTCCAGTAATTCTGCCATTTCCCTGTCCACCATATTCATGTATGTGTTCTCTGTCCATTTCTCCTTCTTCCCATCCCAATTTTGAAAAAGTCATTCAGAGTCTAGGCAGAAACTGAACACTGACTTCCTCTACTTCTTCCTGGGTCACAGGGTAGGGACTCAGGGTGTAGGGTAGTGACTCAGGGTGTAGGGTAGGGACTCAGGTTTTCCTCCAGTTCTGCTGGTAGAACGAGTGTGCCACTTCAACCCTGGACTTAGATCAGCCTAATGCCATTCCTTTCTTTAAAAAAAAATTGCTTTCTATACCCTACTCTGCTTGATTCTCTTCAGCATTTCTTTAGAGATGCTACAAGTCATTAAAATAGTTGCAAACACATGGTGCTTAGTATGAGAAACATGGGTGCAGGCATTCCGTAAAATTAATCCAGAAAACCTGAGTGCCCTGTTGTCACAGATTCATATTTTCAAGCATATAAAACTTTCAGATATCTATTAATAGCTACAAAAGATAATACAACCAAAGGCAGACAATTAGAGGATATTAAAACCTGACCAAAAAGATGTCTTAGATTTATAAGATTTCTTAGTTTTAAATGTTTTCTACATGAAAAAAAATTACGGGAGGAAAGTAAAACCGGTAAGTAAAACTGTTTGCTTTCTGCATAACATGAGTAGAATCCTGTAGAGAACGGGAATGGCTTTGAACACAGTCACACACCCCAGAATCCCACCTCAGATGGGAGAGACTGACTTTGACCTTGACAGTGCAATCTCAGAGGGTTCTGTAACAACCCTTTTCTCAAACAACAACAATAATAACAAAAGAAAACATACTGACACTCTCTGGAATGATGAAAATGGCTTTTGGACAATGAAACTTTCACACTACGTGGCCTAGCTGAGACAGTCTCCATTTCAGGTTATTGTCCAAGAAATAGGGCCTCAAAACTGAATGCATTGCGTGCCCAAAGCAAGCTTATCTCTGGTTTAGGCAGTCCTTGCTTGGCTATTTATTTCCTTGTGCGTGTCAGGCATATTTTGTTAATACAGTGTTTCTGGTGCACAGAGATACGGCTGCCATTTTCATCCACCACTGTAATTGTGTCATTCATTTTTATCGGACCCAGCAGCTGTGTGGCTAATTGGCATTTTTGCAGCAGCACATCACAGAGTTTAATGTGTACAAGAATCACTAAAGAATCATGTTTAAAAAGGCAGATTCTGGATCAATAGTCTGGGAGATGAGGCAGATCTAAGATTCTACATTTCTGATGAGTTTCCAGGTAATGCTAAGACTGCAGGGCCCAAGCCCCATTTTGAGTAGCAAGGGTTTGAATGAATTTTTGTCTTTTATGATAAACAGTTTAGCTCCAATGAAATAAACAAGCAATAGAATCTTATTAACAATGAAATAATCACAAGAGCAAAACAGCTTGGCATGTGAATAAGACTGGGTTTAATGTATAGATTTCTTAGTACCAAATAATTTTCAGAGTGTTTACTTTTTCTTTTTTCACTTGAATCTAGGGCTCTCTGGGACTTCCAGGACTCACTGGTGCCAAAGGTGTAAGGGTTAGTAGTCCAACCAGTCCATCCTGATCGTTTGATGAATTCATTCCTCTTTTTAAAAGATCAGCTTTGCACCGTAGGAGTTACACAAATGTCATGAAGGAGTACACTGCATATAGCTCCATAGATGAAGGTGAAGAACAGGTAAAACTCATCCATAATGATAGATGTCAAAAGAGTGGTTCCCACATTAGGGGCAAGTGTTAAACCAACCAGGAAAGGGCATGAAGGAACCTCTGGAGCGATAGAGAAGCTCTGTGTCTGAAGGGATGATGGTGTACAAAAGTGCACGCAGGTCAACATTCATTAAGCTGTTCAGTAAAGCTGTTCTCAGAAGACTGGAGCACTTTGTGGTATGCATATTGTACTTTAGGAATCTGTCCCCAAAGCCAAAAATAATCTTAATGATATCTTTTTAACAATTACATAAATGTGAGATTTACAAAACTTTGTTAAATCTTTTGTGCTTGTTTTCCCAATCGTTTTGAGCTATTCCCAGTTATAGTTGCAGAAAAAGATTATTGCAATGGTAAATACATTTGTTTATAGATTAAAGATGTTTAAAGTTTTTGTTATTATTATTCATTCTTTTTGCCACCCCCTCCTTTTTTTTCTGTCTTCAGGGAATAACTGGATTGCCAGGATTTTCTGGTTCTCCTGGACTTCCAGTAAGTAATAGGAAAAATCCGCAGCTAGAAAATTTAAACGTAAGCTCATTTTAATAAAAAAGTTAAAACAGTTGTACAAGGAAATGTGTTCTAAATACATTTGTTACATGAAGCAAATAGCACCTTTGGATGGTATATGATATTAGTGTGTGGATTTATATGACATATGAGTCAAACTGTACTTCCTGAAATACAAGCAGGATAGAATGGGATGGGATGGGATGGCATGGAACAGGATAGGATAGTTAGTAAATTATATAGTAAGTCAGCCCTCCATATCCATGGCTTCCATAACCATGGATTCTACCAGTCAACTGTAGATCAAAAAAAATCTTTTAATAATAATAAAAATTGTATAAACTTAAAAACCATTACAGTATAAGAGCTATTTACATAGCATTCACACTGTATTAGGTATTATAAGTAATCTAGAGATGATTTTAAGTATACAGGAGGCTATGTATAGGTTATGTGCAAATACAATATCATTTTATATAAGAGATTTGAGTATCTGTGGATTTTGGTGTCCATGGGAGTCCTGGAATTAACCCCCACAGGTACTGAAGCAAACTATATATTACAAGCTGATAGGATAGGATAGGATAGGATAATGAAATGATTGTATTTAATAGCATAGAATAATGAAATAGTTTCATCTGTGCATACTTTCCTCTTCTTTTTCCCTTCCTTTCTCCCCAGCTTAATACAGTGTGTTAAGGGACTTTATTTTATGGATAAAAGGCTTTTGCTTTATCTGAAATATCCACATCTCACTTGATAAGCCTTCATTTTAATCATTCTGTTTAGTTTGTTGTTACTGAAATCATATACAAAACCACAATGTATGTAATTACTACTCATCCATATAAACAATCATTTATATTTAAGGAGCTATTTAAAGCAGTCCGTCTTTTCCCTTGGGTTTGGTGCTGTTTCTCGGGATGACCCTCCTCATTGAGATTTGTTCTTCTTCCAGGGCACCCCAGGCACTACTGGACCGTATGGACTTGCTGGTGTACCAGGATGCAATGGTTCTAAGGTATGTACTTTTCACACAGAAGATGATTAATAAACAAATTTACAAGAAAAAAACAACCCCATCAAAAAGTGGGCAAAGGATATGAACAGACACTTTTCAAAAGAAGACATTTATGCAGCCAACGAACATAGGAAAAAAAGCTCATCATCACTGGTCTTTACAGAAATGCAAATCAAAACCACATTGAGATATCATCTCATGCCAGTTAGAATGGCGATCATTAAACAATCCGGAGACAACAGATGCTGGAGAGATGTGGAGAAATAGGAACGTTTTTACACTGTTGGTGGGAGTGCAAATTAATTCAACCATTGTGGAAGACAGTGTGGCGATTCCTCAAGGATCTCAAACTAGAAATACCATTTGACCCAGCAATCCCATTACTGGGTATATACCCAAAGGATTATAAAACATTCAATTATAAAAACACATGCACACATATGTTTATTGTGGCACTGTTTACAACAGCAAAGACTTGGAACCCACCCAAATGCCCATCAATGATAAACTGGATAAAGAAATTGTGGCACATATACACTATGGAATACTATGCAGCCATAAAAAAGGATGAGTTCATGTCCTTTGCAGGGACATGGATGAAGCTAGAAACCATTATCCTCAGCAAACTGACACAGGAACAGAAACCCAAACACCACATGTTCTCACTCATAAGTCGGTGTTGAACAATGAGAATACGTGGACATAGCAAGGGGAACATCACACACTGGGGCCTGTTGGGGGGTTGGGGAGCTAGGTGAGGGATAGCATGGGGTAGAAGGATTGGGGAGGGATAATATTAGGAGAAATACCTAATGTAGATGACAAGGGAATGGATGCAGCAAACCACCATGGCTCGTGTATACCTACGTAACAAACCTGCATGATCTGCACATGTACTCCAGAACTTAAAGTATTGCTGAATGACTGAATCAAGGTGAAGTGGCAAAGAAAGGCAGACAGGCTTTCCTTGAAACTTTCCTTTAGGCCAGAACCAACAGTAAAATTTGGAGCCAGGAAACTTCCCGTTTTCTTTATCCGTATTCCTTACTTTCTAATTGTCTTTTAAGGAAAGTTCTCCCACAGAAAGAAAACTGGGAGCTCAACCGGTTGTTTTCATCTGAGGTTGTGCACATAAATCAGAAACCAAAGCACTGAGTGAAGAATTCCTTTTGGGGAAGGAAAGACTGAGCTTTTCAGTGTTCACTCACCTCCTTTTGTTTTTGAACTGAGCTCTCCTTTTCTCCAGAATGGTGGCCATGAATGAACTAATTACTCAAGTTTGAAGGAAACAGCAATTAAAAAGTTCTTGGCACAATTAGACTTTGCCATTTATGCACAATTTGAGAAACAGTATTCTAATCCTGTTTTTAATTAAGATAATGGTTTTTTGGTCTTCAGCCTCATGACCCAGTAGCCATAAGGAATTTGGATTACTTTGTCTAGATTTACCACTGCAAGGTTGGAAGCGAGAAACAGGAAAAATATCTGAATAGGCTATTCTAGAACAACTAAGAATAATGACAAACTTTGTATGTCTTTTAGGGTGAGCAGGGGTTTCCAGGACTCCCAGGGACACCAGGCTACCCAGGGATCCCGGTAGGTTTGCATTTCTAATTTCCCATCAAAGACATAAAATATAAATAAAAGTGAACTACTCCATATGGCCATATACACAAATCTGTCATTACTTTAGCACAGTCTGGGAAAGCCAATAGTAGACATTCAACTAATAGGGAATGGATGAATACATGCAGTATGAGTGTAAGTTTAGCAGCTGAGACTTTATTTTGCTTTTGAGACATCCAAATGGAGATGCACAACAGGCACTTGGATTCATTCAGAGAAGAGGTCTCAGCTGGCGGTGACTCAAGGAGTCAGAGTGAGGAGAAAGGGGGCTTAGAACTGAAACTTAGCTCCAGCAGTAATGTTGAGATCAAGGAGAATGAGCCTGCAAAGGAGGAGTGGCCCTGGTGGTAGAAAGAAAACCAGCAGGGGTGTATTATGGAGGCCCAGGAAAGATCTATTGTAGTAGAAAGGAGTGACAGACAGCTGCTGGATGCTGCTACAAAGTCCAATCAGAGGAGGACTGACATGTTGGCATTGGTTTTAGCAACATCAATATCATGTCTGACCTTAGCAATAGACAATTCCACGGTAGGATGGAGCAGGGGGCAGATTTGGGACTGAGGAATGAGTGGGAAATGAACAAGATGGGAAGTTTACAGGTGAGACGAGAGAGAGACAGGACAATATGGTGGGAGGTAAAAGATTCAGGGGAGACTTTGATTTGTAAGCCCGTGGGAGGTGTATGGTGGGGAGGGGATGCACAATAGCAGAGAGGGCATAGTAGACCAAGTAGGAGTGTGTGCATTTGATTTTCTTCTAGTTGTTCATAAGCTTCTTTTTTCCTAGGGTGCTGCTGGTTTGAAAGGGCAAAAGGTAAGTCACTGGTGGAATACTGTGGCTGAAAATCTCTAATTGTACATATAAAAAGGACTTCTATTAAATAATGAGACTTAAGTCATTACAAATAAGATTTCATAATCCAGATCTTAATCATTCAGAATCAGTAATAATGAGGACATGATATTTGTTCCTGTTAAACAGCTCCTTTTGGCTCTTGTCATAATGAGTCTTAAATATACATGTTTTGTATCATTCTTTAAGAAAGGAGAGTCTAGCAGAAGAGAACTGACGTCACGCTCAGGGCCTCATATTCTAGAGCTGGAATTGCCACTATGTTGGGTGTCTTGGGAAATGATTTATTACCCCTACATCTTTCTTCTTTCCACTGTAATTCTTTTCTTTTTTTAAGATGGAGTCTTGCTCTGTCACCCAGGCTGGAATGCAGTGGTGCATTCTCAGCTCACTGCAACCTCTGCCTGCTGGGTTCAAGCGATTTTTCTGTCTCAGCCTCCCAAGGAACTGGGATTACAGGTGCATGCCACCATGTCTGGCTAATTTTGTATTTTTAGTAGAGATGGGTTTTTGCCATGTTGGCCAGGCTGGTCTTGAACTCCTAACCTTGGGTGATTGATTGCCCATGTTGGTCTCCCAAAGTGCTGGGATTACAGGCGTGAGCCACTGCACCCAACCCACTGTAAATTTTTGACTGTAGAAAATATAAAAATGCATTGAATTCTTCATAATGGAATAACTATAAAATCCTAAATCATTTCTCTAAGTATATATCTTCAAAAGAACTTTTAACTTTGAAGAAATATGACCTTTAATAAGCATTTAAAGGGGTTTTGAAAATACAACATTGAGGATGTTTGATGAACATCTTTATTTTCAAGGGTGCTCCTGCTAAAGGAGAAGATATAGAACTTGATGCAAAAGGCGACCCCGGGTTGCCAGGAGCTCCAGGACCACAGGTACAGCACTTCAGAGAAGATCCGTATTAGTCTTCAGTTTTTCACTCTTTCTCTCTTTTCACCTCTTTCCTCCATCTCTCTTTTCCCCCAAAGGTCCCTCTCACTCTCTTAAAAAGATTTTAAATATAAACTATTATTTATTCTATTTACATGTCTGGCCTCATTTCATTCTAAAGCTTTCACCCTATTCTGGAAAACTACATGATGCTGATATACAAAGATGATTTTAGTATGTTTTTTGTTCTCTTCTTCACTCTCAGTCACCAAGCCTGCCTGAATCTCACGGGAATAGTTATGTTCCACTTAATTTGTGTTTGTTGAATATAAGGATAGATTTGTATCACACATCGAATACCACTTAAAACTGTAATGTTAAATAACAGCCCTATTTTAAAATTTGCATAATGGTAAATAAGAGGTTTTGATTTAAATGCAACTCTCTCCAGTTGAAGTCTTTGCTTTTCTGATTTATACGTATGTAGCCTGAGTGCGATCCAAAAGGGATAGATACAAAGAGACACAACTGCCTTTGGGGCTGTGTGCGTTTTATTTTGTGATTCAAAAAGACCCTTTCTAGACCTAAACCACAAGTGTGAAGCAAGTGTTAACTGTCAGGTTATAGTTATATATAACTAGAATTAATGTTTTTTATATATATTCCATTTATATATATATATGAAACATATATATATATATATATATATATATATATATATATATATATATACACAAATGGAATCTGGCTCTATCACCCAGGCTGGAGTCCAGTGGCACAATCTTGGGTCACTACAACCTCCGCCTCCCAGATTCAAGCAATTCTCCTGACCCAGCCTCCTGAGTAGCTGGGATTACAGGCATAAGCCACCATGCCTGGCTAATTTTTGTATTTTTAATAGAGACGGGGTTTTGCCATGTTGGCCAAGCTGGTCTCGAACTCCTGACCTCAGGTGATCCACCTACCTCAGACTCCCAAAGCGCTGGGATTACAGGCATGAGCCACCATCCTCAGCCAATTAACCAGAAATATTTTAACTTAGTTCAGAATTATATGTGGACATTCCTGGTAGAGATGGGCTATTTGCCTAAGTGAGTTTGAGTTGAGGCTGTTGAACTCCTGTATGGTGAGCTATCCCAACTGAGGATGTAAAGTTAGACTAGGAGCTGCAAAAAATGCAGAATGATGCAATTAGGAGCTTCTGAGAAGAGATGCAAGATATGGTGGCTCTTGCTTTTTTTCTTAGAAAACATTTAAGAGTCCAGATGCTGAAGGCAGGGTATCTAGAAAGAAAGAGATAATAGTAATCTGAGATATTGACACGTTCTTTAAATGTGTATTGACTATCATCTATATATTAGTCATTGTGGTGATGCTGAAGATATAATGATGGTATATTTGATTATACAAGAAATATTTTTTACATGCCAATTATATGCTAGGGGCTATTTCTATGCTCTAGAAATATAGCAGGGCACAAATCAGTGAAAATACAGATTTAAGTCCAGTCATGGCGGCTCACAACTGTAATCTCAGCACTTTGGGAGGCAGAGGCAAGAGGATCACTTGAGATCAGGAGTTTGAGAGCAGCCTGGCCAACATGGTGAAACCCTGTCTCTACTAAAGAAACAGAAATTATCCAGGTGTGATGATGTGTGCATGTAGTCTCAGCTACTTGGGAAAGCTGAGACGAGAAGGTCTCTTGAGCCTAGGAGTTCTAGGCCAGCCTGGGGAACATAGTGAGATCCAGTCTCTTTATATATATGTATGTTTGTGTGTGTGTGTGTGTGTGTGTGTGTGTGTGTGTGTGTGTGTGTGTGTCTGCGCACGCACGCCTTCCTAGAGCTTACATTCTAGTGGGGGAAATGAGTAACTCTATGGTATGCTAGTAATAAATGCTAAAAATAAAAATAATGCAGGAAAGCAGAATAGGAAGTGTCTGGGTTGGAAGGTGAATTTCAACTTTGGATAAACAGGAAGGCTTTATGCAAAGGATGACAGTAACATAACGACAAGAAAAGGTAAAGGGAGTGAGTCATACAGATACCTGGGAAAAGGGGATTCTAGGCAGAGGGAGAGAAACTGGCAGGCCCTAATGTATGAGCATATTTGGCCAAAACAAGAGAGAGAAAGGAAAAGAGAGAAGAAAAGGGGTAGGAAGAAAGAGAAAAGCAAAATTTTGAAACTTCTCAAAGAAAGCAACTACTCTGGTCATTTTCCCAGAAACGGTATCATCCAGATGGTCCTGCCAGCCAGTCACACACGGCAACACACTTTTTGATGTTTTTTGTAATTAGCTGCAGTCACTGAAAAGGAAGGTGTTGTGCTCTTCTGAATGTATTAAAATATTTTAATGCATTTAATTAATGGACATGGTTATTAAGTGAGAAGTCAATTTAAACTCACTCTTATTCTCTTAATTTCAAGGGTTTGCCAGGCCCTCCAGGTTTTCCTGGCCCTGTTGGCCCACCTGGTCCTCCGGGATTTTTTGTGAGTATGAAGTCATCCTTGCTACAGACTCTGTCAACTAACAGACTATTTATTATTAAAAAGTTATTAAAATAATTTTCTGGTTGAATGTATTTTCTGCTGTGATTTTCATTTGTGGATTTTTCTAGGGCTTTCCAGGAGCCATGGGACCTAGAGGACCTAAGGTAGACTACAGTTCCTATGACGTAACAGCTAGAACACCCTATTCAGTCTCAAAGCTAACCCTGGTCTGATTCTGCATGGGGGTCACTGTTGGGCACCTCTCTGAAACCCACAAGGATTCCTAGCAGGAAAGAGCAGGGCTAGCTACTCTCACCTCCATTCTCCCTGCACTTCAGTAACTTGATCCCTGATATAGTCTTTAATTCAATTTATAAGAAACTGCTTATCAGGAAAAAGGCAAGGATTCTTAATCCACAGGCTTTCCACTTCTGATCATCTCACACAACACATTATCCTCTGAGTTTTTGTAGTGTGCTGCTTCACAAAGCCAATCTGGTCTTATGCTAGTAAGTAAAAGAGTACTATTTGTGTTCTCGTTATACAAGGTCTTGCATGCGTTTTTGTTAAGACCAGGCCATGCGCAGTGGCTTGCACCTGTAATCCCTGCACTTTGGGAGGCCAAGGCAGGTGGAACACTTGAGTTTAGAAGTTTGAGACCAGCCCGGCCAACATGATGAAACCCTGTCTCCACTAAAAATACAAAAATTAGCCAGGCATGGTGGTGCATGCCTGAATCCCAGCTACTCAGGGGGCTGAGCCAGGAGAATCTCTTGAACCCAGGAGTTGGAGTTTGCAGTGAGCCAAGATTATGCCAGTGCACTCCAGCTTGGGCGACAGAGAGACGCTCCATTAAAAAAAAAAAAAAAAAAAAAAAAAAAAAGGTCCAATTGTTAGTTTAAGTATAAGAATGTTGAGTGAGACTGAGCCCCAATAGGAAATCAGTCCTAAGCACAGTATCTCCTACTATCAGGTAGTAGTATTATTTTATTTTGTTATTATTTTGTTTGTTTATTTTTTTGATACAGTCTCACTCTGTTGCCCAGGCTGGAGTGCAGTGGTGCAATCCTGGCTCACTGCAACCTCCACCTCCTGGGTTCAAGCGATTCTCCTGCCTCAGGCTCCCAACTAGCTGGAATTACGGTGTGCACACCACCATGCCTGGATAATTTTTTTTGTAGTTTTAGTAGAGATGAGGTCTCACCATGTTGTCCAGGCTGGTCTGGAACTCCTGACTTCAGGTTATCACCTGCCTCAGGATCCAAAAGTGCTAAGATTACAGGCATGAGCCACCATGCCCGGCCTTGGGTAGCTTTTTACATAAGGTATTTTCCAAAATGCTTTTGTATTTATTATCTCACTGATACACATGCATGCACGCATGCACGCACACACACACACACACACACACACACACACACACACACGCTGAGAGATGGATAAGTTCTGGTTAAGTGAATTGTCCAATAGACAGTACAGGGCAGAGCTGATGTTTAAAGTGTTTTGATTCCTCTACAGCTTTTGGTCTAACTGGGGGAAGATCTGCGCACTCAATGTTGATTAAGCAAGCAATATCGGTTGAAATGATGCAACAGCCATCATTAGTGAAGAAACTATTCACATTAGACTCATGTCACTAAATTACTAGTGAAGTCAGGTAGCTGGAATTCTATTATTAGATTCTCCTTAAGTAGTGAATTTCAGAATTCTGAAATGCAGCTACCCATTCTTACTTTCAAAACAAGAAAACAAGGGCATGGGGAAGTGAAGTAGCTGGCCAGTGGGGTCAAAACTAGCTACTGCTGAGCCAGAAAAAGATGTTCTGAGCTGGGCTCCTTTCCCTCCCCCACACTCCTGCGTGTCAGCATTTGCCATGTTAAGTAAGTCCCTTAAGCTTTCTGCATCTCAAGAGCTCCTCCTTTAAAAGAAACATATCAATGCTCTTCTCTAAGAATTAGCTAAAATAATTTCTCATTCTAAAATTAAAGTTACAATATAAATGCTCAGTTACAAATATTGGAACTTTGATGGGCTTTGACTATTCATATTTACTTTTAGAAAATAATCTGGTTTTGTGTTTTCTTACAGGGTCACATGGGTGACAGAGTGATAGGACAAAAAGGAGAGCGGGTAATTTAAATACTACGTTTTATTAGCAGGCAAGATACTTTGTCTAGAGCATATCAACCTATGCCGTTTACTTACTGGCCAAGGAGAAATTAACATATCTTCATTTGTTCTATCTGCCGGTACAAGCACTAAAGGGGAAAAGTAGACCTTTCAAACGTAGTAGTAACATGAAATGCTGACGCTGTTGTTTATTTTCTCACTCCTGAGTGTTTTTGTCTTTAGGGTGTGAAAGGATTAACAGGACCCCCAGGACCACCAGGAACAGTTATTGTGACCCTCACTGGCCCAGACAACAGAACGGTAACTCTGCAATTTTATGATTAGGGTTGCACCTTCCTGTGTCTAGGATGAAGTCCTTGTGACCCTGAACCTCTTTTACAAGCTCTTGTTATCTAAGCCCAGCTCAGCCTAGCTCCCTCAGCCAGCTGAAACTCCAGGATTAATTATTTCCTGTCCTTTACTCGTAAACCTGAAAATGTTATGTGGGGAAGATGTGAGGCTCCAGCCTGGGCAACAGAGTGAGACTTTGTCTCAAAAACAAACAAACAAACAAACAAACAAACAAACAAAAACTTTCTTTAAAAAAAAGTTTGCAGGTAGTTTCAGTGAGTTCACAGGTATAAAATTTGAAATGTGAGGCTGAGCACGGTGGCTCACTTCCATAGTCCCAGCATTGGGAGGCTGAGATCGGGAGTTTGAGACCAGCCTGATCAACATGGAGAAACTCTGTCTCTAATAAAAATACAAAATTAGCCAGGCGTGGTGGCACATGCCTGTAATCCTGGCTACTTGGGAGGCTGAGGCAGGAGAACTGCTTAAGGCCAGGAGGCAAAGGTTGTGATGAGCCAAGATCATGCCATTGTACTCCAGCCTGGGCAACAAGAGTGGAACTCTGTCTCAAAAAATAAAAATTAAAATTAAAAAATTGAAATATGAGAAATGGAAGGTCTAATGAGTTGTGTTAACATGAGACACATTCATAATTTGTAAACCCAGTTTATTGAACAGATAGAGGATTTGTCCCACTGTTGAACCAGTGAAATCTCATTTCATCCACTTGCAATAATGTTGGACTGTTTCTTTGGCAGAACCTCAAGGGGGAAAAGGGAGACAAGGGAGCAATGGGCAAGCCTGGACCTCCTGGACCCTCAGTAGGTTATTTAGAGTTATATTGTACCCACAACACAAAGTAGAAACTTAGTATTTAGTTTGATGCATGTTTTGCCTTCAGTTGTTTTCTTTTTTTTTTTTTTTAAGAAAGTAAAGGAATAAAGAAGGGCTACTCCACAGGCAGAGCAGCTATTGCTTTTAAGTCTTAATATTGGCTAAACTACAATAACATTTGACCTCAAAGATCATGAATACACTAGAGTTATTTTATAGCCACTCCTAGCTGAAACCCTTGCACTGTGGTACATGCATCCAATGCCACCCATCTTATGATTTATCTTCAGCATCAGCTTTTTTAGCATCTGTTTTTTAATTACTATTCATCAAGATTTCTCTCTTAGATGGCTCATTTAAACATGTTTAAAAGATTTCTCTCTTTTTTAGCATCTGTTTTTTAATTACTATTCATCAAGATTTCTCTCTTAGATGGCTCATTTAAACATGTTTTTAAATGGCAGAATAACCAAAAGGGACAAATTAATGAAAATCAATGTAAGCAAAAAACTCAATGATTCTTAAAAGTTGACAAAGCTCTAATTCATATAGGGACTGCCTGGAGAATCATACGGATCTGAAAAGGGTGCTCATGGAGAGCCTGGCCCACAGGTAAATTTGGAAATTCAGTGCCATGTGCAACTTTAATTAGTCAGGACCTGGGACTCTTGAGGTTTTGGGAACAAGATGCCAAACTCAAACTAGCTTTAAGTTAATTTTTGTTCTTTAAGATTTGGGAGGCAAGATTTACTTGCTTAAGTATCTAAGAAGTTCAAGGCTAAAACAGGGTTCAAGGACTTCGGAGCCTGAAAAAATAAGGGCAGAATTCCCTCTCCATCTCATTTCTGCTTCTCTCTGCCTATCAGCCCCATGCTCTCCTCTGACAAATGATCTTCCATGTCAGGGGAGATGGGGAGAAAGAGCTACCTTGCAGCAGACAACTTCAGGGTAATGGCATTAAAGGAGAAAGACAGCATCTTTCTCCCTGTGTCCGTTTATAAAATCCCAGGGAATTAATCTCATTGGCCCAGCTTGGTCCTGTATCTCACTCTGGAAAAAAGGCTGCAGCCAAGAGAAAAGGGTATGATGATTGGGCAGGCCAGTGGGGCAGTGGGCTACTGATACTGACTGTGCCATCAGAACCACCCAGAGAGGGGAAAGAGCGGCCCCCAAAGGAAATAAAGCAATCTGTGGCCAGAAGTGTGCGGTTGGGAAAACAGAAGCAGCAAGGGCCCACTCCCCCACTCAGATCCATTTTGGAAAAACTTAAATTCATATATTGTGTTAAATCTCTAATAATTACACATTGGGAAAAGTAAAATCTATAAAAATTATTTGCCTAATAAAACATATTCAATGAACATGATTTTTTAATTTTATCAGGAAGGGCAAATCCATCAAAGTCAATCCAAGCTGTCAGTTGAGATACCGCACTGTATCTTTTATACATGTATCTAAATATAGGCACACCTGGGGTGCAGGGAATTACCAATATTTCAAATAAATAAATAAGTGGACTGTGAACACTGTTCTTTTTCTAGGCCTCCTTATTTACTTCTCCACCTAGTGTGTTTTTTATTTTCCTTCCAAGCTTAGGATTAACAGCATCAACTCTAATTTAAGTTTGGCTATTAACATTCTTGCTTCCTTCCTTCTTTGACTTTCTCTAGTTTCCCATTCTGACTGGCTTCTGCCTGCCCTGGAAAGAGAGGGTCATTGTGTATTCCGTGGTTAATAGTTTTTCCTTCTAATACCTGGTTGAGGAGCCTTACTCAGACTTCATGCCTGAGGTCAAGAGAAGATGATCATAAATAACACTTAAGATTTCAATATTTGTAAAGTTAGCCATATTTATTAAATTTCATGTTTTTGATTTGTTTTTGCTGTAGGGAAAACCTGGAAAAGATGGTGTTCCTGGCTTCCCTGGAAGTGAGGTATATAGACTTGATTTAGTCCATGGAGGTAGTGAAACTGTCATTCCTACTAGATGAAGAAGGATTTTTTAAGTTACTAAATAGTTATAAACAAACAAAAAGCCTACAGCTTTTAAAAATTGCATTTGGGAATCATAGTTTTACATCTCCCATTCGTCTGAGCATAATTCTTGGTTTCAGAAGAGTTCAAATTGCACCTGCTGCCTACAGAAGCAGTTGGCTCATGTGTCTTCTGACCCATTTCCTTTTGTTCTTTTCTTTAGGGAGTCAAGGGCAACAGGGGTTTCCCTGGGTTAACAGGTGAAGATGGCATTAAGGTAACCCTCTTCCTAATATCCTATCCATCGCCTTTTAAAATAGGTTGGGTTTTGCCTATGCTTTTACTTTTGCCTATACCCTGGACCTAAGTACAAGGGATTATAATAACAGACTTCATTCAAATACCCTAGTAGGTCTGTTAAGAAGAAAAGAGAGATATGGCAACTTTACTTAAACATTTGAAGGGTATTATTGATGGAAAGATATTAAATTTGTACTGTGTACTTGAAGTTGTCTGACTTAGAACCAGTGAGATTCCAGCTTCCCATGAGGAAGAGACTGAAAAAGACCTACAGTTGTAGGAAGTTTGTGGTTATTTGAGATCAAGCATAGGCTAGAGTTCATGAGTCTCAATCTGAGTCATGATACATTGAAAGGTCGTAATCAATTATAGGTGAACTGTTTTCTGCACTTCTGACAATATGTTACAGACACTTTCAAATAATTTTGTAGTGATGTGTTTCTTAAAGACAGGGATACGTTCTGAGAAATGCATCATTAGCTGTTTTCGTCATTGTGCGAATATTATAGAATGTACTCACACAAACCTAAAAGGCAGAGATTGTTGATTCTAGGCTACAAACCTGCACAGCATGTCACTGTACTGAATAATATAGACAACTGCACCACAGTGGTGGGTATTTGTATATCTGAACATATCTAAACATAAAAAATGTGTAGTAAAAATATGCTATTATAATCTTATGAGACCACTGCCATATAAATAGTCCATCATTGACCCAAACATTGTTATGTGACACATGGCTATATAGGTAGGTATATGTGGAGATTCAAGATTTACCCTTTAATGGTATCACTTCCAGTAGAATTCTGAAATGCCTTCTTGAAGGAAAGGGGGTTGGTTGTAGCTGCGACGCTTGGAAATTCATACAACCTACAGTCTGATATTCCTGTGCCTCTAACCTGGGTATGAACACAGGAATGTGCCATGCACATGAACAGGCATTGAAGATGGTGTTGTCAAAGAAACCTGTACAACCACCAGGTCCATAATGACTTCTGTACAACCTTGTAGACAGGATTCCTTACCCAGATACGGGCTCTCCAGGAAAATAATTTAACGTCAGTGTCCCTTTAACTTTGATTTGGTTTGTACATGACATCTAAATATCAATCTCTTGTTCATTTTAACTATACATTTTGCTTTTTATGTGTAAATACTTTGGATGAACATAGTTACAATTTGTAATTGTCTTTCATTGTAGGGACAGAAAGGGGACACTGGCCCTCCAGGATTTCGTGGTCCAGTAAGTGTGATTAAATACAGTATCAGTGCTGTGTTGATCAAGTCCTTTAAAGTAGCAAGGACATTTTGAATCAGGGTCTCTCATTAACTGTGTGAGAGAGATTATAACATTTACTTTTCATCAAACCCGGGCAGAAAATAGCTGGTCACTATTTGTCCCTTTGACAATGGGTAAATATTTCCGTGTGGCCCCTGGAATGCAGTAGTGATGCCCATGCTGGGCTATGGAAGAGAAGAAAAGCTTTGCTTAAGCAGCCCACGCCCAGGGTGATCCTGCACCTTCGGGATAGAGGAGGATAGCAAGGCACCAGGGGGTAAAGAAACCCACTTCTCCTCCCCTCCACCTGGCCCTGTGTTATGACAACTCCTGAGCTTGTAGGCAGCAGAAGCTAAGCTACAGATTTAACACATGGCCAGCAAAAAGCAATCATTCCAGCCCAAGCTCTGTGTAGGAGGTGTGCTCCTCTTCCCAGCAGATATGTATTTAATGTCAGCTCCTAATGCAGAGCAGCCACATTCTATATTCTATGACTCTGCAGATGAAGAAGAGAAAGGGGATCTTGACTCTGAGTGCTGGTGTCCATTCATCTCCTACCTCAAAAAACAGTGGTTCTCACATTCAGTGTGCCAAGCAAGGCTGCCACCAATGATCATGTGGGTTGAACAAAATGGCACATGATGGCAAAAGAGTCATGAGGGGAAAGGGTGTCCTGTCAAAAATACAGTTCTCAGACCCCCATGCTCAGTAATGTAACTCAGTAATTGGAGGGGGGCCTGGAAATCTGCATCTTTACCCTGAAAGCAAATGATTTGGATGCATAGAGTCCTGTCTTAGTCTGTTTTGTGCTGCTACAATAGAATAACTGAGATTGAGTGATTTATAAAGAACAAGAATCTATTTTCACAGTTCTGGAGGCTGGGCAGTCCAAAATCCTGGTGCTGGCCCTTGATCTGGTGAGGGCTCTCTTGGCTGCATCCTCACATGCAGAAGGCAGAAAGGCAAGCTGGCCTGAGGCTGCTCAAAGCCTCTTTTAATAGGGCCTTAATCCCATTGAGAGAGAAACCTTCATGGCCTAATTGCCTCCTAAATTCCCTGCCTCTTCATTCTATCACATTGATAACACCTGAATTTTGGAGGGGGCACATTCAAACTACAGCAGTCCCAAAATACTTCAGTGGAGTTGCCAGGAAGATAAATGAGCTATGTTTTGAAATCACTTAGCACTGTGCCCAACACTTGGTGAGTGCACGCAGATCATTACAGAGTTCATGGTGAACATTATTATGTTATATTATTAATATAATACTTTTGTAATTGTATACATACTGCTTAACCACAAGGCTCTTGTTACTTCATCTTAAATAAGTCAACAAAGTAATTGATCCATCTAACATATGAAAAAACAAAGAGGGTTTTTTTTTAAAACCTTTGATATTTTCACCATTTTTCTTTCAAGATAAATGTACTGAGTGCTAAATGAAATCTATGTTTCCATTCCATTCCATTTCAGAGGAATTCTTAGCACGCCTCACTGTGTATTTTCTTATATTCCATTCCATATAACTGTTTGCAGATTCTACTAACCTCAAAAGAAGTTCTACTAGGAAGACAATGGTTAGGAACACCAGCAGTAGGTCCACTGAGCATGTCAGAAACAATATTCCTCAATTCGTGCAGGTCAATGGTGCCCTGGAATTAAAAAAAAAATATAAAAATAAAAATAAAAACAGTATTGTTTTGATGCTCAGCTTCTATACACTTCCAAAATGGAAAAAAAAAAGTTTAGTCCACCAGGACCAGCATCTTTGAAAAGTGAAGTAGAATAGAATAAAATGTATCGGGGTTGATCATATGTTGTAATAATAAGTTACTGTTTTGTGAAACTTTAATTTTTCTATAGCTATGTATGTATACACATAAATGTGTTGTGTAACCTGGGTCACATCATAAAGTGTATTTCTAATTGAAAGCCCATAAAATATCTGATGCTGTGACACCGGAAAGGTCTACTTATTTAAATTTTTCCATCTACTTTTTTCTTTTTTTTTTTTTTTTTTTTTTTTTTTTGAGATCGAGTCCTGCTCTGTCGTCAGGCTGGAGTGCAGTGGTGCAATCTTAGCTCACTGCAAACTCTGCCTCCCACATTCAAGCAATTCTGCCTCAGCCTCCTGAGTAGCTGGGACTACAGGTGTGCACCACCACACACAGCTAATTTTTGTATTTTTAGTAGAGATGGGGTTTCACCATGTTGGCCAGGATGGTCTCAATCTCTTGTTCTACCTACATTTACATGAATGTTTCATTCCTGCTAACATGTAAATCTATGAATTCAGGAAAATAAGGAAGCCATCTTTGGGCCAAAATGAAGAAACTGAAGTAATTTATGCTTGGTGAGCTGTCCATAAATAGCTATCCTTTCTCTTTATTCATTTCTTTCTCCTCTAAGACAGAATATTATGACACATACCAAGAAAAGGGAGATAAAGGCATTCCAGGCCCACCAGGGCCCAAAGGAGCTCGTGGCCCACAAGGTAAGAATAAATTTCTTCCCAAAGCATTTGCTGAACATAGTTCTGGCTTTCTTTCAAGGTAATAAATAGCATGTGCTTATAGGATTGACATGGGCGAGGAATGGGAAGGGAGATCTCTTAATTTTCATTAGGGTGTTATTTTTTAATGTCTCCTATTCTTCATATTTTTATTTCATAGGTGATATATCAGGAAGGTAATTAAATTATCTTTAGGTAGCAAAGTATAAAGTTCAAATCTGTCACGAAAACACTCGCTGGAGGGCAGAAGGAGGAAGTGCAAGGCACTGGCCATCTCAGTGGGATTAAGAAAGGAAAGATGGAGACCCAGAACAAACTTCCACAGAGATTTACAAGGGGGAACTGAAACTGGTTCCTTGACTCTTGGCACAATGATCTGTCCTTGATGCCATGAATTACTGTCACATGTACTTATGTTGTACCATTTTGGAGAAATCCAAAAGTTCTAGGCCAATCACTCTCATCACTGGCTACATATTTGAATCCCTGGGAACTTCTATAATGACCTTAACAAGGTCCCACCCTGTGATTCTGATGTCATTGTCTGGAGGAGGGCTGTGGACACTGGTAGATTGTGAAAACTCCCTGGACTAGTCCAACGTGCAGCCAGGATGGGGAGACACTGACCTAGACAAATGATTGAGATGAACAAGATTTCAAAGGGAACTTTTACTTAAAAGAATAAAATTTCCCACTGTATTTAAATAAAAGGACAGATCAATAGATTGATATAGATTTTCTTAAAAATCTGGCACACTTACTATAAATCACTCACATGTATATATAAATGAATGATAACCCCCAGAATGTTACAGGTGGAAGCAATCTAAGACAGAACATCAAGACAAACTGCAGATCCTGAATGTTCCAGCACTGTTTGATTTTCTTGCATCTGAACTTCCAGCAAAGTGCTGAATACACAGCAGGCTCTTAGTAAATCTCTGCTGAATTATATGAAAATGATAAGATGGCAAGATTTACTTCTGAATGTTAGACTTCTAAGATTAGTTTTCTCTTGTCTAAGTAAGTGACAATTTCTAATGTTTGTCTAGATGAGGGTAGGAAAAAACATGAAAACTCTGTATTATTAACTATCATTATATTGTCACCCAAGATTTCAAAAGCGGATGGGATAGCATTTGTATCTTTCTAAGCAATTAATTAATATTATATATTCCCAGGTCCCAGTGGTCCCCCCGGAGTTCCTGGAAGTCCTGGTATGTTCATGTTTCTTGGGGTACAGATAGAAATGCTATTATAAAGGAAAATACACTGTCCTCTATTAAGTTTGCATTATTTACATAAGACAAGTGTTTCATTAACTGATCTAAAAGTGTTTCCAGGCTGGGCACAATGGCTCACGCCTGTAATTCCAACACATTGGGAGGCCGAGACCAGTGGATCACCTGAGGTCAGGAGTTTGAGAACGGTCTGGCCAATATGGCGAAACCCTGTCTCTACTAAAAATACAAAAAAAAGGGGGTATGGTGGCATGTGCCTGTAATTCCAGCTAGTTGGGAGGCTGAGGCAGGAGAATCGCTTGAACCTGGGAGGTGGAGGTTGCAGTGATCTGAGATCATGCAGTGAGCTAAGATCATGCCACTGTACTTCAGCCTGGGCAATAGAGTGAGACTCTATCTCAAAATAAAGTAAAATAAAATAAAATATAAAAGACTTCTAAAATTGTCATCTTTGTAATTTATAGTGGAAGAAGGAGTAGAGCTTATATGAAGTGACATAGAAATGCTGTTTTTCACTTCTCAGCAGTTTTAACTATATGTAAAGGCCTTATTGTCAGGGAATTTTTATAGCAACTTTGGGGTATAAGCAGGGGCCTTGAAACTCAAAGGTACAGAAATAGAAAACAATGTCATAGTAATGAAGTTGGTTGAAATGACAGTTTTTATAACATATCACAAGTTGCATAAGAATATGTACCTTTTACTTTTTCTGTGAAGTTCCAAACTTTCGTCTGTGACTCATTAGAGTGTTTACCTTTTGAGAGAGGAAAAAGAGTTGGATCAGGGATGGCCCATAGGGACTCACCAAGTATAACTGTAGCATGTTCTTCTTCATGGAAACAAAACTAAGAAAAAGAGCAAAATTTGATAAACTACTGTGGCAGGTGCCTGCCACTGATCATATTTTTCTCTATATGGTACTGTATATTATACTGCTTCATAATTTTGAAAATTAATCAAAATCAAACAGACTGCAGAACTATAAGTATACTATAATTCACTATAAACATAGATACAGAGATAAATATTATATGTACCTAAATATGCATGGAAAGACATACCTCAAACTGTTAATAGTAGATATCGCTTACAGTGTAAAAAGATATTTTAGAGCTCTGACACTGGGGAAGACCTCCTTCCCCCTGCCCATCCCCTAAGTGAAAAAGCGGGCTCCTTTAAGAAGCCAATAAATGAAAAATTACAAAGCTCTGGTTCGAGAAGAATTTTAGGATTTTTTTTTGTTTATGTGAAAAACGGCATTGGTATTTTAGGGGATTGCACTGAATCTGTAGATTGCTTTGGATAGTATCATCATTTTAATGATATTAATTCTTCTGATCCATGAGCATGGGATGTCTTTCCCACTTGTTTGTGTCCTCTTCAATTTCTTTCACCAGTGTTTTGCAGTTTTCCTTGCAGGGAACTTTCACCTTATTGGTTAAATGTAATCCCAGGTATTTTATATTCTATGTGTGGCTACTGCGAATGGGATTGCCTTCTTGATTTCTTCATTGGCTATTTCATTATTGGTGCCTAAAAAAAATGCTACTGATTTTTGTATGTTGATTTCATGTCCTGCAATTTTATCAAAATTGTTTATCAGTTCTAAGAGTTTTTTTTTATGGAATTAGGAGTGAAGAAAGATTGGTTAATGGGTATAAGCATATGGTTAGAAGGAATAAATTCTAATGTTTGATAGCAGAGTAGGGTGACTGTAATTAACAACAATGTATTGTATATTTCAAATTAACTAGAAAAGAGGACTTGAAATGTACTCAACACAGAAATGATAAATACTTGTGTCATAGATAGTCAAAATATCCTGACTTCATCATTACATTACACATTCAATACATGTAACAAAATTTCACAGGTACCCCATAAATTAGTACAAATATAAATATGCCAAAGTAAAATATGATAAAAAATTACAAAGCTCTGAAACAGTGTCAATCAGAAGAATTTGCCTTTATGTTCATGTAATAGGACATAATCAGATATTACCCCTGCTGGTTTCTCAGCCCTTTGCTGTAGCATCTCTCTACTTAATAGTTAAACTGTTGGCTGGGAGCGGTGGCTCACACCTGTAATGCCAGTACTTTGGGAGGCTGAGGTGGGCAGATCACTAGGTCAAGAGATCGAGACCATCCTGGCCAACATGGTGAAACCCCGTCTCTACTAAAAATACAAAAATTAACTGGGCATGGTGGCGCGTGCCTGTAGTCCCAGCTACTCGGGAGGCCGAGGCAGGAGAATTGCTTGAATCCGGGAGGCGGAGGTTGCAGTGAGCCGAGATCGCGCCATGGCACTCTAGCCTGGCGCCTGGCGATGGAACAAGACTCTGTCTCAAAAAAAAAAAAAAAAAAAAAAGTTAAACTGTTTGTGGGACAGAGATTTGAGACTGTCTCATCCTCACCATTTTAAGATTAGGGCGGGGTAGCTATCACACCCTCTTATGTCTAAGACCCTGACAGGAATAAAGTCCGCTTAGCAACTTTCTCTCTCATTTTGGGCACTGCGAGCATCCTCTAGTCTCTGATAAAAAACATCTACAAAGTAGCATATAAGGAAGTGTTTCTCTTCCTTTTAAATAAAAAGACTACAGTGCATCCCAAACTCTGTTTCAGTTTCTTGTAACAGATTAGATAAATTTTCCTGTGGGAATGGAATGTTCTGCACTTTGCTGCAGTGTGGTTACTTAACAAGGCCGCAGATGAAAATAGCAAGGATATTCACTTTTTTATTATATGTGCATTATGTACCTCTCCATGGTGCAACTTTTATAAATAAATTATATCACTCTTGCAATTGAAACATAAATTTGTATTAATTGGGAAAAAATGTAAAATACAAGACATGATTATTTTCTCCAAGGACCATCAAGGCCTGGCCTCAGAGGAGTCCCTGGATGGCCAGGCTTGAAAGGAAGTAAAGGGGAACGAGGCCCCCCAGGAAAGGATGCCATGGGGACTCCTGGGTCCCCAGGATGTCCTGGTTCACCAGGCCCTACAGGATCACCGGGACCTCCAGGACCACCAGGTAAGGATGTGAAGAGGATCCCTTTTGCGTACAGCTCCCCGTGACAAATGTGTGCAAATCAGGGGCAAGAAACCCTCCTCACAGCTCAGCCGTCAGTCTGTGTGGTTTTTATGAGTTATCTTTCTGATAGTCCTTATTTCACTAACTCTCTGTGAAAGAAACTCATGCAATGACTACTTGACAAATACAGCAAAGTCTTAGCCCAAGTTTCCCAGAGAGCAGAGCAGGAGGCAGGGACTAGGAGAGTGAAGCGGGGAAGGATGCGTGGCTATCAAGTTGGCCTTGGCCAAATGCAACTGCCTGTTCAGCCCTGGAGACTATCCTCTAAGAAGCCTGTGCCAGGGGAGAAAGAGGCAAGAATTTATCCATTTGCTTCTAGTTCCCACGGCTCAAATATTCCACACCCCCTGCACCTCCAGAGACAAGCAGCCCCCCACTTCCCATCCTCCCACCTCCAAGCTGTGTTTGCATGGTTCCCAGAACATCCCATGCCTTGGCATCACCAGGCAAACCCCAGGGCAGTAGGCCAGAGGGGTGCCGCATGGGGTGTAAGGCCACATGCATGAAGTAAAGGGGTCAGAGATGACAGAGCCATGGCCCGATGGACTTGAAGTGGTGCTCAGAGGTCCTGACACAGGCAGCCTTTCCTTCGCATCCCTCTTCAGAGCCACTTATGTGTACCTATGTGTTGGCTCATAGGTACAATAGGTCCTCACGAACATATAGATCACACTTTATATTTTAACATACTTTTTCTGGGGCCAAGTGTGGTGGTGTGCTTATAATCCCAGCCTCTTCCAAGTCTCTAGTAAGATGGAGGTTTAGGCTGGGTGCAGTGGCTTATGTCTGTAATTCCAGCACTTTGGGAGGCCAGAGCAGGCAGATCACCTGAGGTCAGGAGTTCAAGACCAGCCTGGCCAAATGGTGAAACCCCATCTCCATTAAAACTGCAAAAATTAGTTGGGCATGGTGGTGGGCACCTGTAATCCCAGCTACTCAGGAGGCTAACGTAGAAGAGTTGCTTGAACCTGGGAGGTGGAGGTTGCAATGAGCCGAGATCGGGCCACTGCACTCGAGTCTGGGCAAGAGAGGAAGCTCCATCTCAAAAAAAAAAAAAAAAAAAAAAAGATAGTGGTTTATTATCCTCTTTTTTTCTGTGTCAAGGCTGACATGCAGGGCTCACAGGGCTAATGAAGCTAAAGCAAGGATCTGGGCCCAGGGGCTTACTGCTCCCTCCCTGAAACGTCGTGCTCCCTCTGTGTCTGCTACACTCTGCTGAGAGCCCTTTGCTTCCTACCTTCCCTTCTCTAAACAACGCTCATCTATGCTTCGTGTTGCAGCTTCAAGTTCAAGCCTAGCAGAATGCTTTCAGTGAGTCCGTATCCTGTAACCTCCAAGCTTCTCCCAACTGTAAAAGTTTTCACATTGCCTTATCTTTGTCTTGTCAGTTTTTTTTTACAAGAATCAAAGCATTTTGAGGTCAAAAACTGTGTCTTTTTGACTGTTTTAAATGTAGCATAGGGAACACTGCAGGCACTCAAATATTTTTTGAATTAAGCATTGATTGAGTATGAAAATATACAAGTACACAAAAATGTATGAATGTAAAAGTATTCATGTAAGTCTACATTAAGTATTAAACTTTTATCAGATTGTACCATTTAAAGAAGACCCTCCAGGTATTTTAAAGATGGAGAAAACTGATCACAAAATGGTCACTCTTTTGTGTTACAATGAAATTAAATGTTTCCAGTGGTACCTTGTTTTTCTGAAATTTGGGACAGCTATGGTACTGTTTTTAAATATTTACTTTCATCAACACTGCCTTCAACCTGTAATTGAAATGACAAAGCCAAAAATTAGATTACTGAACACAATTAACCAGCTTAAGAGAAGCTGCTTTTCATTGCAACATTACAGTAGCAGATAATGTGGAAACTGAAAAGACCTTTCTTAGAGATTTGCTTTAAGGATGACAACTCAATTGATACGGACAAGCAACAAAGAGAATACAGATGATATCCTGAGTCAGGATCCATTACTTTTACTCAATATATATTAAGCATCTACAGTATATCAGGAAAATATAATGTATCTAAAAATATCCAGAATAAGATTTGATCATTTGTCTCAAGATGCTAAAGGGATTGTCCGTGTATTAGCCCTTTCCCATGCTGCTAATAAAGACATAACGGGACTGCTTAATTTATAAAGGAAAGAGGTTTAATTGACTCACAGTTCAGCATGGCTGGGGAGGCCACAGTAAACTTATAATCATGGCAGAAGGGGAAGCAAACATGTCCTTTTTCACATGATGGCAACAAGAAGTGCTGAGAAAAAGGGGGAAAATCCCCTTATAAAACCATCAGATCTCTCACAACAAAGTAAAAGAAAAAAATTATAATAAAACCATCAGATCTCGTGAGCACTATGTCACAATCACAAGAACAGCATGAGGGTAACGGCTCCCATGATTAAATTACCTCCACCAGGTTCCTCTCATGACACATGGAGATTATAAAAACTATAATTCAAGATGAGATTTGGCTGGGGACACAGGCAAACCATATCATTTTTAAATAATTGGAAAAAACTAAGTACGATAAAATAGGTTGATTCTGTGACCAAAAAAAATTATATAATTTTTAATGTAGCTTTCAAAGATCAACTACATTAAAAATACCACATCTATGTAATATGAAGGGAAGAGCTGGTCACCATGCCTTCTCAGCTGCAGATAAACTACTAAAGACTGGGATTCCAATACAAAGATGAGAAAGATGCATTTTAAATAATGCATATATTAAAACGCTTGCTACATTGAAAAAAACACAAATAAAAAACTATGTTTGGTACTGTATTTTTATAGGTGACATCGTTTTTCGCAAGGGTCCACCTGGAGATCGCGGACTGCCAGGCTACCTAGGGTCTCCAGGAATCCTTGGAGCTGAAGGACCCAAAGGTTGGTTCTTTCAATAATGTTCTATTAGGATAAGCTTTTTTCATCATCATTATTATCACTGATTTTTTCCCACCAAGATAAGAGTGATCCCAAACAGCAGCCAGTCAGTGATGACTTCTTTTCAATTAGCTGAAAGTATTCATTTATCTGTAAATCAATAATTTGGCACCCATGCAATAAATTGTTGGATATCCCAAAAATGTGAGTTTTTGCCTGCATGCAAGAAAATAGACGTTTTATGTTAGACTCTTGGAATTTCACCTTTCAGAAGAACTGTATAGCTCAGAACACGAAAGTAAGCAGATCTATAATAGATGAATTTTTAAATTAATATGTATAGTGTCCTAGATGATTTTCACTACCTAAAAATGTTTAAATGTAATAAATGATAGTGTGGTTGCAAAGTGTTTGTTTTTTCTGAGGACTCGATGTAGCTTTATAAGTAATGCTAGCCTACTCTCATTGCAGGAGAACCAGGTCTCTTGTGCACACAGTGCCCTTATATCCCAGGGCCTCCCGGTCTGCCAGGATTGCCAGGGTTACATGGTGTAAAAGGAATCCCAGGTACAAACAATTTGCATGCAAGTGTTTTTGCAAGCACAAAAGGGTCAATACACTGGAAGAAAATAGAAGCATTAGATTGGTGGATGTCTTGACGTGGTTTATATGAACTTGGAGGGAAGAGTTTCACAAACATATCTCTATTAACATAAAGTCAGCCAAAATCCAAGAAAAGCTAGTATTTTTCCCTGTTCCATTTTAATTGCTGACCGCTAGCAAAGTGTTGTAGGCAGGAATTGTCAACACAGTATCCTACAAGAGAACAGCAGGTAACTGAAGGCAGTGAAGCAGCCATATGAAACACACACCCTCTTTCTCTTCCATAAAGAAATATGCTTTCTCCCTTTTTTTCTCAAAAGACACACTACTCAGTCCATTTTTTCATGTTCCTACTTTTAAAAGAGTTATAGGAATATGTGGCATTTCACTTTCTACTTAAGGATGCAAATGCAATAAAAAAAAAATGCAACATCCTCAGTGCTGGGGATGAGAGTTGCAGCACTGCAGTTAAAAAACCGAGGGAGTAGCTGAACAGGTCAGCAGGCGGTCGGCACCAGCCCATTGTTACTATGCAAAACGCTAGGCCCTGCACTAATAAATCTTCCAAGTTTTCATGAGAAGAAAGGAATTGGAATTTTTATTTAAAATCTCATAGTGTTTTTTAAATTAGCCACTAAGTCAATTTTTGAAAGAAAAATTGACATTTTATGCCATGTCCTGAGTCTTAAATAAAGGATGATTCACAGGCCTTCCCTTGACAACTCTGTGCCAGGCCAGGACTCTCCACCCTGCATGGCTGCTCCCAGCTGTCACTACCTCTGCTTTTGACCTCCCCATCTTTAGTCACAGAATTGGCTATGGGCAAAACCTTGAAGTACAAAACGTCTGTTTATTGATTAGGTTCCTCTGCCCCTTGTGCCACTCCCCTGTCTACACAGGGCCTCTCCCTTGCTACCACCCACAGTCCTAACTCTGCCACCAGCACCTTGGTCTTCAAGACAGTGTCACCAAATTATGTATCATTAACCAGTAAGAGGTGAAGTTACAGAGCCACTGACCAGTGCGTTGGGTACTGTTCTAAGTATCTTATGTGTCTCCATTCCTTTATTTCTCACATCAACCCTAGAGGTTGGTGCTCTAATTAACCTCATTTTACAGATAAGGAAGCTGAGGAATCAGGTGGCATAGCCAATAATGTGGCAGAGGCTGAACTCAAATCCGGAGGTGTGCTCTTGCTCTCCACGCCTCCATCCCCTGACTGGGATGCTGTCACCTCTCTCCTCCTCAGGGGCTGCTTTTGGAAAGTTAATCCAAAGGTCTACCTGGCAACCTGGATAGGGAATGTTATACATTAACACCATCTAGTAGCCATCTGCATTGGCACAGGGTTTTCTGGGAGACTGGGTCTCAGTCCAAAGAAGAAAGATTAATGGTGGCAGCCATGGACACCGTGGCCAGACACTGGATGACATGCACTTGGGCAGGGATCCTTTGTCCCCTCAGATCCCACTCACTTCTCTTTTATGAAGGCTTCTGCTACTTTCAATGGCTGCCCCTGCCCTGACTCACAGGCCTGTGAGGGAAGGAGGGTCAGGGAGGTAGGTGCTGTTCCTCATGTCATTCCTGTTCAGTATCCAGAGACCTAGGGGAAATGTTCTATTAAAACAAAAACCAAAAGGAAGAAAATGAAGGAGGGCAATATGGAGAAAAAAATAATAAAAGATAAAATATCATTATTGTATACTCTCCTTATGTATTATCTTTGACTCAGTGTGAGCAGGGGAGCAGCTCACTGATGCTGATCACTCATTGCATGGTTGTAATTTCCATAGTTTCTCTACGTTTGGCCTATCCAGATACAGCTCAAATAAGCTTTGTAAGCTGTAAAATGGTTTGGATTACTATAAAAATATACATCCCAGCTCAATATCTTGCACAAAATAGAATCTGAATAGATATATGTTGATCAACTGACCAAAGACCTACCCAGAAGGTCATTTAAAGGGATCATCCTTACATAGATATTTAAATACCTCCGAGAAGTATAAAATTGTGCAATAAAATACAATTTGGCAAGAGACATCCAAAACCTTAGTAAAGCTTGTCATCATTTGGCTCTGCTATTATACTTTTAAAAATTTATTATAGGCCGGGCGCGGTGGCTCAAGCCTGTAATCCCAGCACTTTGGGAGGCCAAGGTGGGTGGATCACAAGGTCAAGAGATCAAGACCATCCTGGTCAACATGGTGAAACCCTGTCTCTACTAAAAATACAAAAAATTAGCTGGGCATGGTGGCGCGTGCCTGTAATCCCAGCTACTCAGGAGGCTGAGACGGGAGAATTGCCTGAACCCAGGAGGCGGAGGTTGCGGTGAGCCGAGATCGCGCCATTGCACTCCAGCCTGGGTAACAAGAGCGAAACTCCGTCTCAAAAAAAAAAAAAAAAAAAAAAAAAATTATAAAGGAAATAATTGGATACATTTGGAGACCTAAATATCTAGAGACATCTTTCAAAGCATTGTGTACAACAGCCAAAAGTTGACAAATGTCTGCCTAACATCTAAATGTCTAAAAACAGCATTTAGCTAAATAAATCATGGCTCACCAACAAAACAGGCTGCTATGAAGCCATTTATAATGAAGCTATAAATTCATACTTACTCATACTTATTGGCATATATATACTATAATTCCAAAACAGTGTGTTTATGAATCTTGCGCAGTTACAGATATAAAAGTTTATGACTAATATACATTAAACTTTAGCAAATATTATCTTCTGGCAGATTTACGAGTGATTTTTAGTCACTTCTTTCTGCATAATTTTCTGACAATCAGCATATATTACTTTTAAAAGTAATACATACTCAGAAAAATAAAGATATATATAATTTCTTAAAATTATGAAGATGAAAATTTTAAGAAGCTAAGATCTGAGTTACTTTTTACATGATCCCTTGTTCTGGTTATTTACTCCCATTCTCTTACTGCATTTATGTTTTATGATAGAAGTTGTCTTTCTTTCTCCGTAAGAAAACACTCTATTTTCTTTATACATTGTATTACCGTGATTACTCAAAGTTGGTTCAAGGAGGAGTTAGTTAATAATTCATTGATTTGCAGGAAGACAAGGTGCAGCCGGCCTGAAAGGAAGTCCAGGATCCCCAGGAAATACAGGACTTCCAGGATTTCCAGTAAGATTTCATGTTTTTAAATCTTTAGCTTCCATTTGAAAAACTGCACACTCTGGAAATACGGTTGCAACACACTTAGGTTATCCACTTGGTGCCTTGCAAACAGTAGGCACTTAATAGATAACTGCTGATTAAATGAATAAATGTGTGACTGATTAAGTGAATGAGTTAATGAATTTATAGTTTGAAATGGTATCAGAAACAGAAAGCAGATTAACAGTTGCCTGGGGCTGAGGGTGGAACAGAGATTCATTGCAAATGTTTGAGGGAATTTGGGGGAGTGATTGAAATGTTTTAACACAATTGTGGTGATTGTGGCATAATTCTATAAATTTACTAAAAATCATTGAATTGTACTATTATAAAGGAGAAATTTTATGGTATGTAAATTATACCTCAATAAGTCTGTTAAAAATTAAAATCTTGATTGTCATTAGGAATCAAAAACTTATAGATAAATATACTTAGATCAAATTATTCAGAGAGGCTTGTTAAAACTTACCAGTATTCAAACATAACATGAATTATGGTGATTGTTCTATGATATTGAATTATATTATTGTGTGTATTGTCTTGAATTGTACTATCTCACTGAATTATTTTCAGTTTTGGAAGTTAAAGCAAAACAAACAAAAACTTGAAATAATAGTTGTGGATCAAAACAAGTGTGTTGGAAAGTTCGTGTTAAATTTCAAAAGTTCTTGTTCACACTGTTTTTAAGATTGACACAAGAAGAATTGTATCAAAATACAATGCAGATTCATTTCTGTACTACCCTAGGGATTCCCAGGTGCCCAGGGTGACCCAGGACTGAAAGGAGAAAAAGGCGAAACACTTCAGCCTAAGGGGCAAGTGGGTGCCCCAGGGGACCCGGGGCTAAGAGGGCAACCTGGGAGAAAGGGCTTGGATGGAATTCCTGGAACACCAGGAGTGAAAGGATTACCAGGACCTAAAGGCGAACTGGTTGGTATCTAGCAACTTTACCCTCCCTATAAATGAAGTACTCTGAAGTTAAGAGATAAAAGTATTTTCCAAAAATGGCTGGCTGCTCAACATGATTCACCACTCTAACTGAAGAATGAAGCATCTTCAAATGAGCAGAAATAACCCAAGCAAATAGTTACAGTATTTTGACAAAATAAATAGGTAGCATTCAGTGATGTCACCCAATCAAAATTCTACATTGATAATGGCCCCATCTCATACACAAATTACAGTTCCATATTTGCATCAAATGAGTCTATTGAAAAGTTCAGAAAATGATATATAGTGGGAAGTTTTAGTAAATGTTTTGGGGGCAATGTCCATACTTTTAAATAAAACTAAATGCATAAGAGACAGCATATTTCAGGGTATGGTAGTCAAATAAAGGGATTAAATGTTTTGTCATTAATGGCATGATCTCGGCTTACTGCAATCTCCATCTCCTGGATTCAAGCAATTCTCCCACCTCAGCCTCCCCGAGTTGCTGGGATTACAGATATGTGCAACCATGCCCCGTTAATTTTGTATTTTTAGTAGAGATAGAGGCTTATCATGTTGGCCAAGCTGGTCTCGAACTCCTGACCTCAGGTGATCTGCCTGCCTTGGCCTCCCAAAGTGCTGGGATTACAGGCATGAACCACTGCACCCGGCCCCAAGATCTATTTTAAAATGTTACAGAGAGAGTGAACACCTCTCATCATAATGTATTTACAAGAGGTTTGCAAGGGATGCTGCTCAAACTATTCTATGAAATACCAGTTTCTCCTGGGGCTAATCTGTATAATCCAATAAAAGATTTATCTCAAACAGGTTTGGAGAAACCTGTTAAACAAATTTAAAAGTTCATTTACAGACCCTTTAATATCAGAATATGAATTGTGAGTCTTCCACATGAAGACAAGCTATCCAGTCTTTCCTAAATGCTTTTGACTACAAAGCCCTTTCTGGCTGGCAGCATCTACGAGACCAGCACTTCTCAGACCCTGCCTTGGCCAAGTCCCAGGCTACTTTGCGGTAGTTACATTTATAAAGCAACAGTGCTAGAATTCTGTTGGTCTAGTATTAAGAGAATTTGTATGATGTCCCTATTTGTATCTCACCAATTTTTCTTTATAAGTTCTGGTAAACCTGCTCCATGAAGTACATGAGAGAAAAATCAAGGCGGTGATTTGTTGAGTCTTACACCCTGTCTTAAAAAAAGGAGACAGACCACTTAGCCATCTGATGATACTGAACAATGAAAAATTGAGTCAGGTTTATTTCGGGAGGCCATGATGGGAAGGAAGAGGGCTTACATTATTTTGTCAAATTCAACTTCTTTTAAAGATACAAATAATTTTCAAGGTTGTAGCATATGAAAATTTAAAAACTACACAGTTCAAGAGAGAAAATGGAGGTGGGAAATCTCCTCTGTCATGAAAATACCTGGTGAAAACACAAACTTTTAGTAGAGATGGGGTTTGCTGTACTCATTTTATTTAAAAAATGTAACATTACGATGAATATCGCCCCTAAAGTCATTTGAACTATTGGTCAGTTTGAAGGTAGTTTTAGTAGCTATTATCATATGGGAGACCCGTCTCAGTGGGACTCAAGGCAGTTTCAAGCTCAAAAAATGTTGCTTCACTCCAAAGGTTTATAAAACGGCAGAAACCTGCAGTGCTCTTATTTTAGTAATAATTCCCATCAAATGCCAAACTGCTTTTTAATTCAAGATCTCAATGACAGCCTAACTGGTATTCATATTTGGAGGACGATTAACCTGTTCTAAGAAGATACTGGAATGAAGCACGATTCAAACACATTCCTGTTGTCACAGGCTCTGAGTGGTGAGAAGGGGGACCAAGGTCCTCCAGGGGATCCTGGCTCCCCTGGGTTCCCAGGACCTGCAGGACCAGCTGGACCACCTGGCTATGGACCCCAAGGAAAGCCTGGTCCCAAGGGCAGTCAAGGAGTTCCTGGAGCCCCTGGACCACCCGGAGAAGCCGGTTGGTTAGTTTTCTTTCCAGTCCTGTTTTCCGATGGAGTGGGTTGATGTTTTCTAGAGCTAACGAGGCTTTTCCAAGACTAAGAAAAATGTAGAAACTTGCTTCTAATGAATAGAATATATCAACTCGCAGATACCAGGAAAAAACATGTAGGGTATGTTAGAGAAATTTTTTCTCCATTACTGGGCAATTCAACTGAAATTTCCTAGAATATTCTGTATCTATTACTTACATAAAGATATGAAATGAATAGACCCTAAGCGTTAATGCAGATTTGTTTTTTGGGGCTTTTTTCAAAGACAGGATCTCACTCTGTTGACCAGGTTGGAGTGCAATGGCATAATCATAGTTTACTGCATCCTCAAATTTCTGGGTTTAATCTATCCTCACACCCGGTCTCCTGAGTAGCTGGGGCTATCGGCACATGTCACCACAACCAGCTAATTTATATTTTATTTTTATTTTTTGTAGAGACAGGATCTTGCTGTGTTTCCCAGGCTGTCTCCAACTCCTAGCCCCAAACAATCCTTGCTGCAGCCTCCCAAAGTGCTAGGACTACAGGCGTGAGCCACTGTGCCCAGCCACAGATTTAATGTTTTTGATCCATAACTCAATAGGCACTTTATAAATAAAACTTTAAAATATCTAAGACAAAAGAAGAAAAATAGCATGATAATAGTTTAAAAGTCCAAGTAACTTTGGGGATACACATATACTGGCCCTAGTTCTGGATTCAGGAGTGTAACTAAAGTTCAGAATAGCATGCTACTGACAGTTTTAGGCAAATAATGCCACCATGGTCATTTTTTACTTCTAAAATCACTTTAGGCCGGGCACAGTGACTGACACCTATAATCCCAGCACTGTGGAAGGCCAAGGTGGGCAGATTACTTGAGGTCAGGAGTTCAAGGCCAGCCTGGTCAACATGGCAAACTCCCATCTCTACTAAAAATACAAAAACATAGCTGAGCATGGTGGCACACACCCATAGTCCCAGCTACTTGGAAGTTTGAGGTAGGAGAATCACTTGAACCTGGAAGGTGGAGGCTGCAGTGAGCCAAGACCATGTTACTGCTCTCCAGCCTGGGTGACAGACTAAGACACTGTCTGAAAAATAAAGAAATAAATAAAATCACTTTAAACGGTGAGACCTAATAAACTGTGGTCTCTAAATCATTTTACAGGGTCTTCCTTCATGGGTAAAACTTTCTGAGTGCACAACCTTATATGTTATAAACATATGCATCATTTTTGTCCACACATGTATGTAAATATTATGACTTTCTCTATATATCAAATAAGTAAATATCTATGTTTATCTGTACCTTATTTTGGAGGCTGCTATTCTTTTTCTTTTCTCTCTTTTTTTTTTTTTTTTTTTTTTTTTTTTTTGAGACAGAGTCTTGCTCTTTCGCCCAGGCTAGAGTGCCATGGTGCAATCTCAGCTCATCGCAGCCTCTGCCTCCAGGTTCAGATGATTCTCCTGCTTCAGTATCCTGAGCAGCTGGGATTACAGGCACCCACCACTACACCCAGCTAATTTTCATATTTTTAGTAGAGACGGGGTTTCACCATGTTGGCCAAGCTAGTCTCGAACTCCTGACCTCAGGTGATCCACCTGCCTCGGCTTCCCAAAGTGCTGGGATTACAGATGTGAGCCACCACGCCTGACCAAAGGAGACTGCTGTTCTAATCCAGTTACTAGCAAACGGTGGTGGCCCACAGTCCAAGTCCAGCCCACTGCCTGATTTTATATGATCCACAAGCCAAGAATGGTTTTCACATTTTCAAATGACTGAAAAAAATGTTTAATGATATTTTGTGATGCATGAAAATTACATGAAATTCAAATGAGAGTACCCATAAATATAGTTTCTTAGAACACAGCCACACTCCTGCATATACTGTCTCTGGCTGCTTTTATGCTACAATGGCTGAATTGCGTAGTTGAGTAGATTTGGATCACAAAGACTAAATTACTTACTATTGGCTCTTTACAGCAAAAGTTTATTTAGCCCTGTTTTGATCCATTATCAAATGCTCTTTTGTTGTTTTTTTGTTTTGTTTTATGAGATGGAGTCTTGCTCCGTCACCCAGACTGGAGTGCAGTGGTGTGATCTCAGCTCACTGCAACCTCCACCTCGTGGGTTCAAGGGATTCTCATGCCTCAGCCCCCTAAGTAGCTGGGATTTGGTTAATCTTTGTATTTTTAGTAGAGATGGGGTTTCACCATGTTGGCCAGACTGGTCTCGACCTCCTGACCTCAAGTGATCCACTCGCCTTGGCCTCCCAAAGTGCTGGGATTACAAGTGTGAGCCACCGCCCCTGGCCCCTTCTGTTATTTCTAAGTGTGAATCTTTACTAAATAACTCCATTGTCATAAAATATATTATTATCAAAGTTGTCCCATCACATACTGTAAACCTGTTTTTCTATAAATAAGTGACTATATGGCCAACACTTATCACTAAACATGTTTTAATGTTTGCAGCTGTGGTTAGAATATTATCTCAAGTTCTTATCTGCTGGATAGGCATCCCTTCCCCTGTGACAGATGAGGAACCTATCAGAGAGGTTAAGAAAACTGTCCAAGTTCACAAACCCACGTCAGCCTTGCCCATATCAAAAATAGCCTTCCTGTGGAAACTAGTCCTCCAATAAATAAGTATCCTATCAGTATTTACCAATGTTTACACCTAATTCCATATTATCAGTTTTCTTGGACAGGCTATTTTCAATAGACCAGCATGTTGGGCTATTAATTTCCCATTTAGGAAAAAAATGCAGCTCGCTGCCAGTGCTCATTTCATTTACACAAACAAACTCTTTGAGGCTGAAGCAAATATGATTTTCATTGTGAAATAAAATACAATAAATGTTTTTGGAGTTATTTCTAAACAGAACTTGTCTCTAATCCTAATATAAGGTGGTAAAGTTAGGACTGTAATCTGTGAGTTATCTCAGAACAGGAAACAGGTTAAAACAGAGTTTAGACAATAGTCTAAACTCATAAATATTTGTTGACTCAGTAAGAAAGTTTCAATGGGTTGGTGGTCCTTAAGCTAGTTTTGAAGCCTGTGAAAACAGTTTTTTAAAAAAAATTTTCTTTGTTTATAAAACCTTTATAATCATATTTTCCCCTATCATCTAAGAAAAGCTTCAATATTTATATACCCCAATCTTATGATCACAAATTTCCTTAAGGTCCTAGGGGAGAAGTCAGTGTTTCAACACCAGTTCCAGGCCCACCAGGACCTCCAGGGGCCCCTGGCCTCGCTGGCCCCCAAGGCCCACCTGGTGAGTACCCTATGCCAAGTCTGATGCATGGCATCAGACAGCACCCTGACTCTTTCAAAAAAAAAAATACTGTCTCCATTATAAGAAAAAAAATGTATTCATTGGCTCCAAAAGAGAGCACAGGGCAGTGTCCTATCTGATAATTAAGCAGGCTGGGGACGTGCTGTAGTTCTCTGAGGTTATCCAAATTATTCTCACTGGTGCTTCTAACATAAAGGTTCCAGAGAAGAACCTATAAAACTACTTAAGAGGAATTCTAGAGCAGAACAACCATATGGAGTTTTGGTGGGGGCGGAGGGGGCGGGGAAGTGATGTTTGCTTACTGGCAATTTATTAGGATATTTTCCATAGCATCTTCATTTGAAAATTGAAGGTCTTTGCCAATGTGATCTAAAACTGAGTTTTGCATGTGTAGAAGGAGACTTACATAGTTCAAGACATCTAGAATACTTCTTGTTAGGAATTAAATCATATTTACAAAATTATTTGCAGTTCCTAAAGATTAGTCCATTGGATAGGGGCACAGAGGAGGAGCATATGATTGGGGTTGGGTTAAAAAAATTTTCTTAATGTGCAAAAGGGATAGGATGACACTGATAACTTAGACATTTTCTTTTAAAACAAGATGAAGAAAAGTTGCTGATGTGGATATGCATATATGTATTTGTTTTTAAGGTATCCCTGGATCCACGGGGAAATATGGAGATCCTGGTCTTCCAGGGCCTGATGGTGAACCAGGAATTCCAGGAATTGGATTTCCTGGGCCTCCTGGACCTAAGGGTAAATTAAAAAATTTTTTAAACATAAAGTTTATTGTGGATATTTAGAATATATACATATGCATAAATAAAATAAGTAAAATACAATGTAAAGATACAAATAGGACATAAGATACAAAATGAGTAAAATAGGAAATACCTATAATACTCTGTAAAACATTTTCTGGCTGGGTGCAGTGGCTCACGTCTGTAATTCCAGCACTTTGCGAGGCCAAGGCAGGCAGATCACTTGAGGTCAGGAGTTGGAGACCAGTGTGGCCAACATGGTAAAACTCGTCTCTACTGAAAATACAAAATTAGCCAGGTGCAGTGGCATGTGCCTGTAATCCCAGATGCTCAGGAGGCTGAGGCAGGAGAATTACTTGAGCCCAGGAGGCAGAGGTTGCAGTGAACTGAGATTGCATTACTGCACTCCAGCCTGGGCGACAGAGCAAGACTCTTTTTGGGGAAAAAAAAAAAAAAAAGTTTTCCAAGAGCCTTAAATAGTAAAAAATCTTATAATAATGTTAGGTGAAAAGGCAATTGATTTATGCAATATCATCTCAATTGTATTTTTCAAAACACATAGAAAACAACTAGAAGGAAATTCACCAAAATGGTAATAGTAATTCTTGATTACTGGATTTTAAGGACATTTTTGGTACTTCTCAATAAATGCCTGCACCTTTTACATTTATACAGTACGTTTTTTATATAATAAAGTAACTATTAAATCACAAATAGCTGATTTCCCCACACACTTCTAAATAAATTACAGAAGTTATTTTCCTTTAGGAAAAAAGTGCTGTCTCTCCTTAAAAAAAAAAAAAAAAAAAAAAAAAAATCTAGACACTGAGAGCTCACACAATGACATAAGCCTGTCCCTTGACAATTACATCAAAGTCCTGTCCAAGATGACATATAAGTAACCTGAGTCCCTGGATTCTCACATAGAACTAACTGTTAAGTTTTATGATAATTTCATGTTTGTTACAATATTATTTAAAATGTTTGTTAAAATGGCATCCTTTTTTTGGTGTTCCAGCTCTTGGATTAGTATGTCATTAATGTTTATTATACATTAATTCTGCACAAATATGAGAATATTAATTTCAATTTATGAGTATTTGAGATGGCAAACATAATTACATTTCTCATGTTGTCTCAAAAATGGCTTTGAATACAATTTCTTGGTTTTCTTCCTAATGATCTGCGAAGTAATGGAACCTGGCTCACATTTGTACCTCATTCCTCTGGGACCCTGCATTAACAAATTACATCCCTACTTTGTAACTCTATGAATTGACTCTCTGGAAGAAGATGGTTGACTATGGGAACCAGAACTAACCCACGAGATCCTTGAAAGTACAGATTTACAATTTCACAACTGAACCTAATGAATTCTATGAACTAACTGCAAATTAATTATTGGTCAAATTAGGGTCTAAAGGAGCTGTCTGAATGCAGTCTTGTTTCACCAGGGCTTCCTCTTCTGAACCAGAGAACATAGAAAATGTGTGTGACCCCTTTCTCAATTCACCTACTATAAATGCATAAGAAGTTAACCCCTTACATGCAATGGATGCTATAGGGACATTAGGACTTAATTCTCTTAAACAACCCCTGTTGAGAAAGTCTACCTGGGTTGCTGAAAAATCTCTATTGCTTAATCTAGGTCATGCTTGCACGAATATATACACATATAAAAATCCATTTACCTGTATACTCTGTGTAAAGTATACCTCAAAAACAAAGTCAACTGGTCAACCAGGTTTGAAGAATTGATGAATCAAGATTATAGCCATACTTAACAACAAAAGGGAAAATGTTATTTTTTAAATTGGGAACCAATGTAATTTGAACTTTTAAAAAATTGCTTATTTCTCAATTGGTTTATTATCATTTAAACTTTCATAAAAGCATCTCTGGCTGGTTGAGGGATAAGAGGGTTACTGCTCAGAATCTTTCAATAAGACTAATTCTACAACAATGTTTATTGTTTTTTCTCTGTAGGAGATCAAGGTTTTCCAGGTACAAAAGGATCACTGGGTTGTCCTGGAAAAATGGGAGATCCTGGGTTACCTGGAAAGCCAGGCCTCCCAGGAGCCAAGGTATGCAAAAATTTAAACTCAAACTGTCACAGGGGAGAGGGCAGGTGACCATTAATTGGCCAGTTTGTATGCACCCACCTGGCAGAACACTCTAGATGTAGAAATTATCAATATATTTGTAGATGATGAAGATATTAAAATTTTTTAATGTTTTTCTGGATCATCTTCCCTTTTAGAAAGGAAAATATGATGTGCCAGAATGCACATTTCATCTTTATACCATCTTTAATGGTTTCATAAACACTCAGACTGTTTAAAATGAGACAACTCTAAAAAGAAATGTGGGTAGCTATGAGAAAAACTATTAAAAGTAAAGACATCTAGGTTTTTCTCTTTAGACAATCCCATAGTCTTCTGAAAAAGTGGAGGCTATATATCCTGAAGTGTTATTAAGCATAATCTTGTGGAAAAGTCAGCAACTAGAGTTCAAAAAGGAAAGTTGATGGCATGGTGGTGGCTCTATAAAAGGGACTTAGAGCCTCAATGACAGAGACCAGTCAATAGCAGTGAGGATTTGGAAGTATTCTATAGTAATATATAATTTCTGTGCTATAGGGAGAGCCAGCACTAGCCATGCCTGGAGGACCAGGAACACCAGGTTTTCCAGGAGAAAGAGGCAATTCTGGGGAACATGGAGAAATTGGACTCCCTGGACTTCCAGGTCTCCCTGGAACTCCAGGAAATGAAGGGCTTGATGGACCACGAGGTACAATAGCAAGTGTCGTTACTTTTCTCCACTGTGAGCTCAGCTAAAATGCAGCAGACTGAATGCCTAGGTGTTCTAAGAATGAAGAATTCTCAAATAAAGCTTCTGGTTCAAGAAATAGAATCTGTGGAGCCTAATTATTTTCTCATCCAATGTTCCTGCCCTACATTTCTCCCTTCTTCCTTCCTTCTTTCCTTTTTAAAGAGTGCCCTCTACAAAAGGCATATTAGTGGCAGTAAATGTACGTCGGATTTAGGTGGAAAAAAGTTAACAGAAGCATGATTGGTGTAGCAATGCCAAGACCTTAAGTTCTAGCACCTGGGTATATACTTGGGCTTTCTTTCGCAGGAGATCCAGGGCAGCCTGGGCCACCTGGAGAACAAGGACCCCAAGGAAGGTGCATAGAAGGTCCAAGGGGTGCCCAAGGACTTCCAGGATTAAATGGATTGAAAGGGCAACAAGGTAGGAGGAGGGCCTCGAAACTGGCCGCCAGATGGGCAGGAGGCATGAGACTCCTGCTCTGTGCTTTTCTGCCTAACATGGGAACTGTCCAGCAACAAGTCCTGACCGTTGTTCAGTGAGAAATACTTCAGAAATATAAACCTTGCTGCCATGGATTTATTGCACACAGTAATGTATACCACCTATAAAGGAAGAAACCTGAAGTTAATATAGTGAGTTTCCTTGTGTCTTTTATGCAAGAAAATATGAACGCTGAAGACAGAGAGAGATTGGTGTGTGTTTACATATATTACATACATATGAATTTTCAGAAAACATCTTACCTTTAATACTTTCATAAGTATATTAAAGTGGTAAATGTATCCTTATTATTACAATAGAGCAAATGTATGCAATGGTACCAGTTTAAAAAGTTATAAACTAAAATATGTAGTTGATTGTTTTATACACAATATAAAAGAAAAAAACAAAAATAAATCTAAATGATGCAGGCTAGATGTTCCAGATGGTGGGAAACTTACTTTATCTTTTTTGATTATCTCAATCAGATCTGATGAACTGTTCCTGGAAAAAAAAAAAGTTATTTATAAATCAGTTAATGTCTGTGGTCTATCATACTGCTTATATGTTCACAAATCAATTTTTGACCAAAATTTTAAGTAGTATAGTGGCATTATTATTGTTTCCGGAGGCATCCAGTGGCTTCCCTCCACATGAATGGCTCTGTATGTCTTTTGTAGGATACAGAGTGAGCAGCACTCATAGGTCCCAGAATGTGCCTGCAGGACTAGAAACTAGATATAAACGCTACACTTTTTTACTGCATGAGTCATTGGAGCAGAGAAAGTTAGAGCCAGAAGGGAGCTCAGAAATTTTACAGAGAGGACCTTAAATACACACACACATACAAACACACACACGCATAAGTGTGCAGTTACCACAAATCACAAAGCTAAATAGTTACAGCCACAAAATATTTCTGAAGTGGCCAGGTGCAGTGGCTCATGCCTGAAATCCCAGCACTTTGCGAGGCCAAGACGGGCGGACCGCTTGAGGTCAAGAGTTCAAGACCAGCCTGGCCAATATGGCAAAACCCAGTCTCTACTAAAAATACAAAAATTAGCCAGGCGTTGGAGTGCATGCCTGTAGTCCTAGCTACTTGGGAGGCTTAGGCAGGAGAATCACTTGAACCCAGGAGGCAGAGATTGCAGTGAGCCAAGATCACGCCACTGCAATCTAGCCTGGGCAACAGAGGGAGACTGTCTTAGATATATATGTATTTCTGAAGTTAGTGGGGAAAGCATTTGTGGGTTCATTCATTTGTTCATTCATTTATTCATACACAGGCAGAAGAGGTAAAACAGGGACAAAGGGAGACCCAGGAATTCCAGGCTTGGATAGATCAGGATTTCCTGGAGAAACTGGATCACCAGGAAGGCCAGGCCATCAGGGCAAGACGGGACCGCCAGGTCAAAAAGGATATCCAGGAAATCCAGGAATTTTAGGGCCACCAGGTATCCTTTTTTGTGTTTCTATTTTTCTTCTTACGTCCTATTCCTCTTAAGGTAGCTCTGTCAACTACCCAGTCATATGCTTTTGACTCTATGCTTTTACTTCAGTTAATATAAGATTTTTCTTCTAAATTATTTGTAAGAAACCAGGGGCCAGGGTGCAGGGAACAGTGGTGGTGGGATGAACACATTTCACAATTCCCCAGGATGTGGCTATTTTTGCTGTGTTATCCTTTTAATATGCTACCATTATAATACTTTTGCTAGTACTTTGTTGAGAATTTTTGCATTTATATTGAGAAAGGATATTGGTCTATAGTGTTCTTGTGTTATCTTTGGTTTTGGCATCAGAGTAATGCTGGTCTGACAGCACAAGCTGGGAAGTGCTTCCTCCTCTTGTATTTTCTGGAACAGCTCGTGAAGAATTGACACTCTTTAAACATTTGGTAGAATTCACCAGTGAAGTTATCTGGGTCTGGGCATTTCCTTGTGGGAAGTCTCTAAATAACTAATTCAATCTCTTCATTTGTTATAGGTATATTCAGATTTTTTCTTTCTTCTGGAGTCAGTTTTGGTATTGTTTCTCTAAGTACTTGTCCATTTTGTCTAAGTTATCTAATTTGTTGCCATAAAGTCGTTCATCATATTTCTGTATAATTGTTTTAATTTAATGGCTACGTTTATTGTTTATATGTTTGGGGAGAATATTCTGTTCCCTCAAGGTGTAAAAACCTCACTGGTCTCCCATCCAGAGAATAACCCGGAACAATTTAATCAGCACATTATCCTTTCACTCATCCTACTGGGCTACGATCACGTGCCAGCATTATTCCAGACCCCAGAGACACATCAGTCAGTGGACAAGTCTCCCCTTCTCATAGCAGAAGAGCAACAATACAAACATTGAAAGTCTAAGTTCAACTTGAGACAAGTGTTACGAAGAAAATAAAGTGAAGGGATATAATAGAAAGTTACTGGTCAGGGCATGGTAGGATAGAATGCTCCAAAATTTCCACATATTCTATCTTTATTCATGACTCCACAGAGATGAGTTTAAAAGACCATTTACCAACCCATCTCCTGGACTAATATGGTAATTTTACTATATACAGAGGCCATTTTTTCAACTCTCAATCTCTACTTCTAAGTATAATTTATTTTAGCATATGGAATATTTTGCTTTTCTCACTCTGTACAACATGCGCTGCTTTGTGTTAATTTGTTTCCATAGGTGAAGATGGAATGGTTGGGATGATGGGCTTTCCTGGAGCCATTGGCTCTCCAGGGCCCCCTGGGAACCCAGGCATGCCAGGGCAGAAGGGTAAGTGATGGAGTCTCTTTCTAGATAGTAGGAAGCAGAAACAATATTCATTTATTTTGCAGCAAAAAAAAAAAAAAGTTATATTTCTTTGGAGGAATAGTTCTGAGAGAGCAACAGTATCTTATTTTGCTGTTTTCGGTGTTCCTTTTTTCCATTTGAATGGAATCCTATTTTCTCCCTGCAGGCTTTATACCACTACCCTTATGAGGCTGCCTGCCTGAGAAAACTGTTTACCAAGTTCTCAGCACCGTTAGAGTTTTTTGTTTCATTTGTTCTGTTTTATTATAAGCACTGCCAACTTTTTAATCCCTATGAACTACTTAAAGAATGAAGGACCTGATGTTGTTACTCCTGTCTGTTAGGAAGCCTTGGAATTCCAGGAGTGAAGGGCCAGAGAGGAACCCCAGGAGCCAAGGGGGAACAGGGAGATAAAGGAAATCCTGGGCCTTCTCAGATATCCCACTTAATAGGGGACAAAGGAGAACCAGGTCTCAAAGGTAAATAATTGCTTATTTGGAATCAGAACATCAGAGCTGATTCTCAGGCTAAGAAATTATCCACGCAGGCCGGGCCTGGTGGCTCAAGCCTGTAATCCAAGCACTTTGGGAGGTCGAGGCGGGTGGATCACCAGGTCAAGAGATCGAGATCATCCTGGTCAACATGGTGAAACCCCGTCGCTACTAAAAATACAAAACATTAGCTGGGCATTGTGGTGCATGCCTGTAATCCCAGCTACTCAGGAGGTTGAGGCAGGAGAATTGCCTGAACCCAGGAGGCGGAGGTTGCAGTGAGCCGAGATTGCGCCATTGCACTCCAGCCTGGGTAACAAGAGCAAAACTCCGTCTCAAAAAAAAAAAAAAAAGAAAGAAATTATCCAGGCAAATCCCTTCAGTTGACAAACAAGGACATTGAGGGCCAGTGTTTGGTTACCTGCCCAAGTCACACAGCCAGTTGGTGGCTGAGCAGCACCAGAACTGAGTCACCTTCTACCATATGTTGCCTCCTCAATGTGTAACATTTTATTTATGAGTTAATTCTGCATTTTGATTTGCTATATTTGAATCGTCAGCAGTTTTTATAAGCCTCAAAACTCCCTCTTTGCCAAGTATGAGGAAAACTAAACCCTAAAAAAAAAATTCACATTAAAATTGTTGTCTGGCTGATGTTGAAATACCCGTCTCAAATTCAACTTTATTCTGTTGACTACCAGGATAATTTCTTCTGATTCCATCTAAAAACTTCTGTTCAAAATCCTTTGGAGAATAATTACTAAAAAGAAATGCTTCAATGAAAATGTAACTCTTTTGAAAGACTGTCGTTAAATGTGGCTATTAGGCTAAAATTCAAACCCATTCACATTATTTCACGTTATTTGGGCCCTTTTTATGGCAGTTTTTGTGATATGATCAATACAACCGATATAAAACCAGATTTTCAGAAGCCCTCCCTTGCAGTCATCTTGATCAAATGTAATCCCAAGCAACTTTAGAAAAACAGAGAACTGCTGGGTAAAACATACATTTACAGATCAGACTCTTATAGCTGGAAAGGATTAAAACAAATGTGTCATCACAAGAAAGGAATAAAAGAAAAATATGTTTACAGTTGCAAAATTATGTTAAGTTTTGAGATATTTGAAATGACTTTTGAGAAATGAGACTGTATTCAACAAATATTTATATGCGTGGCACATAAGGATATAACAAACCTTCACATGTACTGCCAAACCTTAAAAAAAGGAAAAAAATTTGCACAGGGTGCTGTAGACCAGAATATAAAGACTGACTAACTGGCAAGTTAGGAAGTAAAAGCCTTTTGGGTAGTCCCCATCTAACCAGGTGTTGAAGAGATAGTCTAGTTATAGTACAAAAAGAATATTGCATTTCATTTTTAGCAATGAGAAAGAAAGTAATGTGACTTTTAGAAAACTCTGCTAGGACTAGTCTAAGCCAACATATGAAAAAAAAAATACTGGCCCCAATCTCCAGTCCTCATAAACTGTCTGCATAGACACTACTTCACTAGACTATTTTAGATTATTTAAGTAGTGTTAGAAACATTTTGGAAAAAATATGAATAGCATATCTCTGCCTACATAAGCAGAAATTTGGCTCTCACAGTACAAATGCACAATGAGTACTAATTTGCAATTGAAGAATTCCTTTTGTAAAGCATAGAAGGACACATGCTATGGGGCTATTTCTATGCTTCCAACAAAATTATTTTACTCACCCAGAGTATGCATCAAAGCTGTTCTATGTGTTTTCCTTAGACTTTTCAAATGCATAACCAAGGGGCACAGATTGAAGAAGAATAACAAAAAAAAAGAACCAGTAACTAGGCCTCCCTAATTTCAGTGTGATCCTTTTTTTTTGGAGAACAGGGTCTCGCTATATTACCCAGGCAGGTCTCGAACTCCTGAGCTCGAGCTATCCACCCGCCTCTGCCTCTGTAAGAGCTGGGATTACAGTCATGAACCACCACACCCAGCCGATCCATTTTTTTTTCTAAATCTGAATTTCTGACTTAAAGCTATTCACTTTAAATGTGGAAGAGATATTAAATATACAGATAAGCACAATAACAAGTCACTGTCCTCTCCGCAAGGAGTCTGGGTGGGACAATTAGGCATATGTAGAAAAAAAAAAATAATGTAAGTGCAAGTCAGTATGCTGTAATATTTAACAACAATGTAAGTAGTATTCATGTGCAGGTACTGTTCTAAGTTCTACAAATATTGACTCATTTAATGCTCACAATTACCCTAGAAGTAGGCTGGGCCCAGTGGCTCATGTCTTTAATCCCAGTATTTTGGGAGGCTGACTTCGAGACCAGCCTAGCCAACATGGTGAAACCCCATCTCTACTAAAAATATAAAAATTAGCCAGTTGTAGTAGTAGGCACCTGTAATCCCAGCTACATGGGAGGCTGAGGCAGGAGAATTGCTTGAACCCGGGAGGCGGAGGTTACGGTGAGCTGAGATTATGCTACTGCACTCCAGCCTGGCCAACAGAGTGAGACTCGTCTCAAAAAATAAATAAATAAATAGCATTAGGAGTAGGTACTGCTATTGCAATCATCCCATTTTACAGATGGGGAACAGGGAGGTCAAGTTATTGCCAAATGTCACTCTGATAGGAAATGGGAGAGATGGGCCTCACCCTTGGCCTCCTCACTGTGCTGCCAGAGCTTTGTAGGAGTTGAAGGAAGCAGAAAATACAGCAACTCGGCTAGTCAGTGAAACCTCCATGAAGGAGGATTTAAATGTTTTATAAAATTCAGATGAACAAATGAAATTCTTAGCTTAAAATCTTTCCAAAGCTCTTTGTGCTTTGAGAATGGAAACTTCTTAAACTGACATACAAGCCTGTTCACCACCTGCACTTGGCCTGTCTGTCCAGTCATATGACATTTATGTACCCAACAATTACTTTTTACTTAATAAAATAAAAAACAGATTAGGCATTTTGCTATGTCCTGACTATGCAGAGGCAAACAAAGCAGACTCAGTTTTCTAGTCATGTTGAAAGTTACAGTTTAGTGGCAGGAAGAGACATAATGGGTCCATAAACAGTTTCCATTTAGGCTAGGTAGGAAGTATCTTAGGCTTTGTGGATTACATATGATCCCTGTTGCATATGCTTCTTTGCTTTTTATTTTGTTTTTAACAACCTTTTAAAAATGTAAAACCCATCTTTAACTCTCAAGCTGTACAAAACCAAGCCAGATTCAGCCTGAAAGCTGTATTTTGCCAACTTCTAAAAAACTGAATAAACACATTAAACAGTATATGTATTTTTAGATTGCAATCAACAGCATAAATGGAAAAAATGAAGGTTATAAAACAAAACAATCTAATCCCTGATACTCATTACTCCTTTCTACATGCTGTTTTACTGTCTGGGAATCTTGTCTCATTCCAGGCCTTCTTCACCCAATTCGTATTCATTTGGTCTTCAAGAGCTAAAAAATACCACTTCTTCCAGAAATTCTTCCCTGTAGCATGTTGTGCCCAACACTGGTACAGAGTTTATCTGCCTGGATGATAATTGTTTGTTTACTTGGCTGTCCCCCCAGTTAAACACTAAAAACTTGGGGAAAGAGAACATGATAATTTCTCTCTCCAGGACTCAGCATAAGACCTGTTCATTAATTAGATGTTCCATCCTTATGTGAATGAATAAGTACATATGCAGGAAAAGAGTCAAGGGAAGTGAATCTGCTTGAGAAAAAGCACAAATCAGGCCATCAGGCCATAGACAGACTGCAGAATGCTTCATGCTGCCAAAGGAGTTTGCAATTTACTCTGCAGGTAATAGAGATTCAATGACTATTTCTTTCTTGATTTACAGACAGCATCTCGCTGTCATCCAGGCTGGAGTGCAATGGCGTGATCTCACTGCAACCGCCACCTCCTGGACTCAAGAGATTCTCTTGCCTCAGCCTCCCAAGTAACTGGGATTACAAGATCCATGCCCGGCTAATTTTTATATTTTTCGAAGAGATGGCGTTTCACCATGTTGGCTAGGATGGTCTCAAACTCCTGACTTCAAGTCATCTGCCCACTTCAGCCTCCCAAAGTGCTAGTATTACAGGTGTGAGCCACCACGCCCAGCCCAATGACTATTTTTGAACAGGAGAAGAGTATGATCAAAGTTATGTTTTAGGGAAAGTAGAATGGTGTCCTGGGAGATTTATGAACTTCCCAACTGTGCAGAACTAGATTCAAATCCAAGTGTTATTAACTGATTGAGAGTGTAATTCTGGGTAAAGGCTTTGACTTACCTAATACTTAATAAATTATAATTTTTATACATGGATTGACAATAGAATCAGCTGGATGAGAATAGTATAATAGATAGTGCTTTGTCTTTACTATTAAAAAACGAAGAGATATTTAGGCTGCTAATTCTTAAAATGTTGTTTTAAAGAGTACATACTAAGATCATTGGTAGTGTTAATTGAGAAATAACTTATGCCAGGCATTGTGCTAATGCTTGACACATATTATCTCATTTAATCCTCTTCTTTAAAAGATAGACGCCCAAATCTGTCCATGCTCTTAACATATCTGCTATGCTGTACTACAATAATATGCTGTCAGTTTAAACCAGGATGTGGATGGGTATAACAAAATTTTAACCTGCATTTTTAATACCTGGTTTTTTGTTTTTTGGGGTTTTTTTGTTTGTTTGTTTGTTTGTTTTTGAGATGGAGTCTCACTCTTTCACTCAGGGTGGAGTGCAGTAGCAAGATCTTGGCTCACTTCAATCTCTGCCCTCCAGGTTCAAGTGATTCTCCTGCCTCAGCCTCCTAAGTAGCTGGGATTACAGCCACCCACCACCATGCTTGGCTTTTTTTTTTTTTTTAATACCTGGTTTTTAACTTTAGGATTCGCAGGAAATATGGGTGAGAAAGGAAACAGAGGTGTTCCAGGGCTTCCAGGTTTAAAAGGCCTCCAAGGACTACCTGGACCACCAGGATCACCAGGTACAGCTGATTCTCAAATAGAAATAACACATTTTACACTTTCCTATGTCTAATGTAATAAAAGTTGTTTCTAGGCTTAATGGGTTTAAATATCAATTCTGTTCTGATGGTGTTCCAGCAGAAATTTGCTACTAAATTACTAACAAGAAGGTGTTTATAGTTGGTGTGTAGTTAACAAAACCATATTAACCTACAAATAGTTCCATTTTGTCCTCAAATTTTTATTCTGAAATTGCTGATATGTATTACAGATTATAATTTATCATCATATGTGATAACATATCAGAGATGAAAATTAGAGAATGCCTTAGAAGTTTTCAGATTTGCATCTTTCTTTTTTAAAACAAATAAGTGAGTTTACAAAATAATTTTTAAATAACTAAAGTATCCCACCATTCCTATAACCCCCTCAGTAACAAAATATATTACATGGCAATAACACTTAAGGATGGCAGTTAGAAATATATTCCCATATGACTGCAGGAGCCCACTTTTTCCCTGCTGGCGTTGGTCCTAGGATGATTTTAGTGTTTGAAAACCAGGCCTGCTGACAAGAATCTAACTTTCTTTAGTTTTACATGTTCTGGGTCCCCAGTTCTTTCCTTATTTGAAGGGAAAAGGACAGCTAGACAAGTGCCTAAACGAGCTGGCCTGGCTGTTCTGGATTCATTCATGCATGCAAGCAACAAATCTTTATTAAACACATACTATGTCCAGGAACTGTGCAGGCCAATAACTATTTATTTGTTCTCAAGGCCCCAGAGGAGATTTGGGCAGCATTGGGAATCCTGGAGAACCAGGACCACGTGGTGTGCCAGGGAGCATGGGGAACATGGGTATGCCAGGTAATGCATAAAGTCCTGTTATGAGCCCACAAGCTCATGATGGGTCAGGATTCCAGATTTTCTGTGTTATGCATTGTTTTGGTTTTCCACTTGGTAGAAAGCCTATATTTAAAAAAAACTAGATTTGCTATTAGACAAATATACTATGTGCAACTAGAATAGGGGTGAGAACAAAATAAATATTGATGTTATATAATAATCATCCATTGTAACTACCTGATGTATTTGCAATTCTGAAAAAGCAATTCTTGGAAGACAGCTTATGCAAAGGTGAAAAGTAGAAAACTTCAAGTTCCTCATGTTTATCTATTTTACCTAATTTTTCTCCCTAATTTCAGGTTCTAAAGGAAAAAGAGGAACTTTGGGATTCCCAGGTCGAGCTGGAAGACCAGGCCTCCCAGGTATTCACGGTCTCCAGGGAGATAAGGGAGAGCCAGGTTATTCAGAAGGTACAAGACCAGGACCACCAGGACCAACGGTATACAGGCCAATGAAATATTTACATTTTGGTGGTGGAGTGAGCCCCTTGAAAAATATCAACAAGTACCCAGATTCAATGTGGGCAGAGAAAATTGAAATTATTGCTATACTTTCAGACAGTTATTTGGATTTTTAAAATCCTATATCCACTGCTGAGGATGCTTGTCTGTCACAGAGCTGTCAACTTCTGACAATCTCTTTCAGTCACCAAGGAATTTCTCACACTGTCCCTGCAATTTAGGTGTGCTGCCAGAAGAGGGCAGTGATTACAGGTCCATGCAATCAGATGGGACAGTGGGTTTTTTTCTTGTGATACAAAGTGGCCCATTTCTACTGTACCCATCTCACACAGACTTAGAAAAATAAATTTCCAAACCTTCTAATAAAAAGCACTTGTCAGCCAGGTGTGGTGGCTCACGCCTGTAATCCCAACACTTTGGGAGGCCAAAGTGGGCAGATCACAAGGTCAAGAGACCGAGGCCATCCTGGCCAACATGGTGAAACCCCATCTCTACTAAAAGTACAATAATTAGCTGAGCATGGTGGTATGTGCCTGTAGTCCCAGCTATTCGGGAGGCTGAGGCAGAAGAATCACTTGAACCTGGGAGACGGAGGTTGCAGTAACCCAAGATTGCGCCACTGCCCTCCAGCCTGGTGACAGAGCAAGATTCTGTCTAAAAAATAATTAAATAAATTTTTAAAAAATACTTGTCTTACTAAGACATAGCAAAAGATACAAAATCACTTTACACCATCATTAGAAAGCAAACAAAATCCTAAGATACATTTATCTTTCTTGATTTAGAACTTTTTCTGTGTAATGGGATGGAAATACTTAATCTTGCTTCAGTATTTTCAGTGTTTGTGCTCTGTCAAATTGAGGTTGGATCTTCAAGCCCTTACTACTGTGTTATACAAAGCAGCAATCAAATGTTTCAATAAGACTTGGCTGCTTTCTTAGGTTCATTCTCTCCCAAATTTTCTCAGTACAGCTTTCACACTAAAAGCCAGAGAGAGACCACTAGAAATGGTAACAGAAGTTCCTATAAGCAGAGGTTACTAACATGGGATTTCATGGACTCCTGGAAAAAATCTATGGGATCCCAAGAAGCCCAGCAACCTCTTGAAATTAAATGCAAACGTTTGAAAATGTTTTTGTAGAGGAGAGTCTATTTTTCAGATTTAGATTTTTAGATTTTTCAAGAATATATGACTCCAACATATAAAAATTATTACTTAGGGAACCTCTCCCTCGTTTTTGAGACAATAAAATATCACCTTTCCTAAAGTTTTCCACCAGCCATAGTCTCCAGCAGTGATTGCTAAAACAAGAAAAAATTTATACACCACGCAGACCAAAGAAAGCAACTGTTTATTACTTGGAGCACAGACAAATGTCTTTGTTCTTTTTTTTTTTTGAGATGGAGTTTTGCTCCTGTTACCCAGGCTGGAGTGCAATGGCGCGATCTCGGCTCACCGCAACCTCCGCCTCCTGGGTTCAGGCAATTCTCCTGCCTCAGCCTCCTGAGTAGCTGGGATTACAGGCACGCACCACCATGCCCAGCTAATTTTTTGCATTTTTAGTAGCGACGGGGTTTCACCATGTTGACCAGGATGGTCTCGATCTCTTGACCTCGTGATCCACCCGCCTCAGCCTCCCAAAGTGCTGGCATTACAGGCATGAGCGACCGCACCCGGCCATGTCTTTGTTCTTTATATTTATATTAAGTCCTCAGAAAACCAGAGATTGCTTCCACTGAGATATCTGCTCAATGAGAAATCCTATTTGACTTCACATTCGATTAATTAATAGTTTCATTTAAAGTTTTCACAGGTAACCACCAGAATAAATTGTTAGAACTCTGCATTGAGCACAAAATGAGCTGGTTTTACTATGTCACCAAATGAGAGTAACAGAGTGGTATATTTTAATTGACTACCATAGAAATTTTGTAAATCTTTATCCAATCTATATGTTCTGGCTTGTCATAAGACTGAAGTAAAGATTTAATGAATATTAAATCATTGGAAGGTTTTTAAAACATGTGATTGACATATTTATCCACATGCATAGTATTTGCAGGACACATCTTTATTTAGTCTGTTTCTTTCTTACCCCCAGCTAGTCATCACAATTTGTAATTATATATTTGTGGGATTATTTAATACCTATCTCCTTACTGGTCTCTGAAGCCCTATGAAGGCAGGGACTGTATATGTCATAGATCTATATAGGTTACTATTATATCCTGCTAAGAGCTGGCTTCCTGAATATGCTACCAGTGCAGTTACAGAGGTCCTGTGCTAAGAAGGACCTCCATACTTTGTCTGATGCGATGCGACTGCTGTCTTGAAATTCTCTTTAGAAAGTTTTAAGGGAAGCTGCATTTTCATTTTGCACTGGGCCCCATAAACCTTGTGGCCCATTTTTTTTTTTTTTTTTTTTTGAGACGGAGTTTCGCTCTTGTTACCCAGGCTGGAGTGCAATGGCGCGATCTTGGCTCACTGCAACCTCCGCCTCCTGGGTTCAGGCAATTCTCCTGCCTCAGCCTCCTGAGTAGCTGGGATTACAGGCACGCGCCACCATGCCCAGCTAATTTTTTGTATTTTTAGTAGAGATGGAGTTTCATCATGTTGACCAGGATGGTCTCGATCTCTCGACCTCGTGATCCACCCGCCTCGACCTCCCAAAGTGCTGGGATTACAGGCTTGAGCCACCATGCCCAGCTGGCCCTCTTATTCCCAGCACCTATCACAGTGCTGGCAGATAGCAAATACTAAATATGAATTGATGAATGAATGAATTAATGAATAAAGTTTATACTGAATTCTAACCACATATCCTGCTTATATGAGAATTTTAAAGGTGTTTGGCTAAATTTAAGGGGGATCCAGGACTGCCGGGTGATATGGGAAAGAAAGGAGAAATGGGGCAACCTGGCCCACCTGGACATTCGGGGCCTGCTGGACCTGAGGGAGTCATTGGAAGTCCTGGAAGTCCTGGCCTTCCAGGTAAGGCTTGGGTCTACAATTCTAAAACCGAGAAGCAATACTCACAGTGTAGCCCTCCTGAAATCATTGTGGCAAACAGAAAGCTATTTATACTTTTATGCTACAGTTGCTTTTATTCAACTTTGAACTTCAAATTCGAACACACTAAGAAACAGAGAATTCATTAAGAAGAGCCTAGTTTTACTAATCAGCCCATTTGGTGGACTGAAAAATAAAAATATGGTCCTATAAACACTTTTGAAGAACTGCCTCAACAAATTCAGCCTAAGGATGCAAAATGTTAGCCACTGTACAATCGTGTCTGTATTAGTTTGTTCAGGCTTCCATAATGAATACCACAGACTAGGTGGCTTAAACTACAGACATTTATTTTCTCAGAATTCCAGCAGCTCCAAGGCTGTGATCAAGATGCCGGCAGCGTTCATTTCTTCTGGGGCCCCTGTTCTTGGCTTGTGGATGGGTATCTTCTTCCCAAGTATTCCAGGTGTCTTAATCTTCTCTTCTTATAAAGACACCACTTATATTAGGGCCCACCCTACTGACCTCATTTTAATTTAATTACCTCTTTACCAACCCTATCCCCAAATACAGAGTAATGTTCTGAAGTACTGAAGGTTAGGACTGCAACATATAAATGTGGGGACAACACAATTCAAACTACAACACTGTGTTCTGACTCTTTTTCGAACACATTTCTGAACTGAATTTTGGCTTTCTTGCTTATTAGCTTACATTCAGGTTAAGTGTTTTGTTTTATTAAAAATAACTGTGAAACTATTGGGTTGCAGATTCAGATCTTACTTAAATACAATAAACTACCTGTTCAAATACAGAAAATTTCAGTAAAATTTGCATTTAACTCATAATTAATATAAAATTGCATATTGAGTGGTCCTTGTGGTTGGTGTACACACATCTTTGAAAATGATTCGACTGTATCTCTGCAGTGGTTCTCTGGGGAAACAGCAGCCTGGACAAAACCCTGGGGTGACCTTGCAACAGGAGACCTTCCTTAAGGTCAGCATGAGCACGGCTGACTATAAAAGCAGACCGTTTCAGTCACTGTTGTAATCATTTATCCTTTGGTGCTCTTTTTTTTTTTTTTTTTCCTTCCCCTCTCTTCATTTGTAGGAAGGCCAGGTCCTCATGGTGATTTGGGTTTTAAAGGAATCAAAGGCTTCCCGGGCCCTCCAGGAATCAAAGGCCCTCCAGGTTTCATTTTTGCACTTTCTCTCTTTCCTTTTCATGTGGGAGGCACATTTTCTCCTGAGGTTTTAATTTCTGTAAACGTACTACTCTATTATAGATGATTGCTCCTCGTTACTCGGTATCCAGAAAAAAATACCAAAAAATAGGGTTAGACATTTCTATTTATTTAATTCAAATATTTGGCAACCTATTCCAAACTAATCTTCTGCATGATAATGGTAATCTGTGTGTGGTTTTCCCTGGGAACATAGCTTCACATGGCTACAGTTCTGAAAAATAGCCCCTTTAACACAATTTGACACATCTCCCTAGTATTCCCATTAGGCCGTTGGCAAGAAATAAATCCTCTTTTTGTATACCATGGTTTTTGTTTGTTTTTTTTTTTTTCAGGTCTTCCGGGATTCCCAGGATCTCCTGGACCAATGGGTATAAGAGGTGACCAAGGACGTGATGGAATTCCTGGTCCAGCCGGAGAAAAGGGAGAAACAGGTACAACTTGCTCATTATCTTTGATCCTCTAGTTTTATTTTGGATAGAATTATTAGTAACATTGTAATCCTTTGCTGCTCTAAAGATTTTTCTCTGATAGAATGGATTAACATGTTTTTGGTTGTACTAATTAAACTTCTGTTATAGATATATAATGTAATGAAACTGACCAAATATTAATATGCCAAGATTATCTCTTTCAGGTTTGCTGGGGGCCCCTCCAGGCCCAAGAGGGGATCCTGGTGCTCAAGGTAAGCAGTTCTTCTTCCCTGTCCTCATGTATACATTTTCAAGGAGAGAAAGAAGTTGAATGTGCTTGAAATATAAAGTAAGCTTAACCTAGGGAATTAAAGATGTTCCAGTGGTAATACAGGTTATTTATCATCTTGGTCTTCAATTGAAAATGTTTAATTATTACCATCACAACAAATGGAACTAATTAGAAACTGTTACTGAATTTTGGAATTTCCTAAGAAAGTCTTGAAAAACTAAAAAGGATTCTTCTGTATATGCCTTGCTGTTGTTAGCATGGTTTAACGTACCACCTCCTAAAAGGTGAAGACAGAACTGATAGGTTCTCAGTGAGCATCTGTCCCTGCTGTTCTGAGACACAGGAGTAAACCGAATCCTTTCCTACCTGTTATCTTCGTAGGTCTGATTCCAACTCCCAGGTCCAGCTTGCGGTCCATGCTATTGTTTATTAAAGGCTACCCAGAGAGTCTCTCAACATCTCAGACATGGCTGTTTACTGAACATGTCTTTCAAAGTATTTACAAGTTTTTGTTTGACAGGCCGCAAGTCTGGATTTCTCACATCAGTGCTTTACAAGATAAGCGCTTCTTTTAACTCTTTCCCATTTTCTAGTGAAACCTTCCAGGAGAAACACACTATTTGCACATTTCATTGACCTGTCTCAGCCACAGGTCCTATGAATGGGAGCTCATTTCATTAGCAAAGAGGCCTAGCACGCTGAAGGCCCCTAGTTATTGATGCTCATGCAAACCAGCAAAGAGCAGCTCGATGCCAATAAGAAACTCAGGTGGGCAGGAACCACCTCTTCACAGAACAGTTAAAGTGTAAAGGTACACATAGAGCTGTTCTCTCCCATTTGTTTCTTATTGGTTTGATCATTCTTTTGGTTAAACTCAGTCTTCTCCCCTCTCTCAGACCTCTCCCTTCCCAATGAGCACAAAGGCTTTTCCTGTTCCACAGTGTAGTTTTAGAATTGTGATCAAGAGGAGAGTTGCTCTCCATGCTCCCAGGCTAACTCACAGTTTAATCATTTGGAATGAGAACACTAGCTTTTCACTGGAAATAAAATTTGGTATAAAATGGTCATACCTTAGGTTAAAAAGCCTTAAAAGTAACAAATGGCCTAATTACGTAAGTGAATGATTATGCACCTCAATCCCTCTAGGGTAACTTAATATGGAGAAGAGTTCATTGAGACTTGGAAGGTATGAATCCTTTTAATTAGTTTATTCTCCCAAATCCTAAAAAGAAATCATATTGCAGAGCATGTAATCATTTTAATGAACATGAAATATATAATCCAAGACATCTTGGTGTTTCAGGTCACTGCCATGCAAAAACAGTATTACAAAGCTTGGAGTGAACTGAAGTCATCTAAGCACTTTCTTTTAAAAGCATAAAGTACAGGCATTAAGAAGCTAAAGGATGTGAATAGACATAGGGCTAAACAGTCAATATTCATCAAATTGGTTTTCACTATAAGTCTTCACTATATAATAACTCCCAAGCCCTCCCCTGAGCTATTAGCCTCCTTCCCCTTCTCCCTCTCCTTCTCATATCTATCTTTCGTTTTCATGCCATTTACTACTTCTAGAATAACAAGAGATGGGAGAGAAGAGGGAGAGATTATTTTCAATTCATACAATATTTTTCATTCATGAATGTCAAAGCATAATTTCTTGTGCTTTGTGACCTTTAAGTTGTGACCTTTTTTTGCAGGGGGCAAGGGGGATTCTTTGGTAAATCCAAACCTCCTACTATTCCTATTAATGGGGGATGAGGGGGGAGGTTAACTAAAGGACAGAATAAGGATTGCAATTTTGTTCCTCCTTTGTCTGGGTTTAGCTGGATAATACTTCAAATGCACATATCAGTGCAATGCAGTTTAACTCCTTATGCTCTAATGGGTTATCAGTGACTCAATAATATCAACATGATTAAGTTCATCAGCTGGTAATAACTGAGGCTCACATTTACCATAACACTTTAGAGCTTATACCACGCTCTTCTGTCTGTATGTTATCTCACTTGATCTGAAAGAAGTAGCTAGAATGGGTATTACCTTCATTTTTAAAATAAGAAAATCAAAATTTGTTAACAGTAAGTAAATCTGAAGTGACTTTGCCAAGATCAAACAGCTAGTTGGAGACAGAGTCTCAACTCAGTTTTTGTAGCTCTATATTGCATTTACCAGCAATATATTATAAAATACATATTTTAGAAATATATATTCTGAATCTGAACACTTTTAAGCAAAGTACCTACATTATTAAAGATAGCCACGAACTCTAACTCAACCATATGGACATTAAAGAAACTTATCAAGCCTTCTTCTTTGCAGGAGCCAAAGGAGACAGAGGAGCCCCAGGTTTGCCTGGCCTCCCTGGCAGAAAAGGGGCCATGGGAGATGCTGGGCCTCGAGGGCCCACAGGCATCGAAGGATTTCCAGGGCCACCAGGTCTGCCGGGTGCAATCATCCCTGGCCAGAAAGGAAACCGCGGTCTGCCAGGCTCAAGAGGAAGCCCAGGTAGAGGGTTTACTTTCAAATAGCATAAAAGAACAAAAATCATATTTGACCTCAAAAGTTTTCAACCTCCTCCTCATGTTACCTCATTGCTTCTTCTTTCCCTATGGTCATCTCCATTCTTCCTCTACCCATGGTTCCCACACCGAGCAGTTGTCAAGGCAGGGTGGCCTGTTTGAGAGATGCATAGTTAATAAATTAATGAGCCTAGCCGGATACAGTGGCTCACACCTGTAATCCCAGCACTTTGGTAGGCCAGGGCAGGTGGATCACTTGAGGTCAGGAGTTCAAGACTAGCCTGGCCAACATGGTGAAACCCTATGTCTACTAAAAATAGAAAAATTAGCGGGGCTTGGTGGTACATGCCTATAATCCCAGCTACTCTGGAGGCTGAGGTGGGAGAATCGCTTGGACCTGGGAGGCAGAGGCAGCAGTGAACTGAGATTGCACCATTACACTCCAGCCTGAGCAACAACAGAGCAAAACACTGTCTCAAAAAAAAAAAACAAACCTAATTCATTAATTAATTAGCCTAAAAGACAGTGATGCATTCATTCAACTCTATTTGTTGAGCGTCTATGCTGCATCAGGAGCTGGACTAAGCTCTAAGGAAGCAGGCACATACCCTGCTCTAACACACCCTCATTGAAGAGAAGCAGATCTTGCCAGTGCCAGGTGCTTCACTAGCATCATCTCATCCAGTCTTTACCACAATCCCATCATATGCCCAAGGGAAAGAATGTTTGTGGTAATGCTAAGTGAAGGGTTTACACTTTCTTAGAAAGAATCACTGATAGATAGAAACTTCCAAGCTCCCTGGCTGGCAAGACTGACAGATTTTTCATAAATTCAGGCAAGCCCGGTCCCCCTGGACCTCCAGGGAGTCACGTAAAAGGCATAAAAGGAGACAAAGGGTCTATGGGCCACCCTGGCCCAAAAGGTCCACCTGGAACTGTAGGAGACATGGGACCACCAGGTCATCCGGTGAGTGTGGATAATTATTTTGACTCATTATTAATTCAATATCAACTTATTATAATTGTTCTTATATTGCATTTATATTGTGTATTGTCGATGTTGCTAACTGTAGTAGTCCATTCTCATGCTGCTAATAAAGACATGCCCAAGACTGGGTAATTTATAAACAAAGGGGGTTTAATTGACTCACAGTTCTACATGGCTTGGGAGGCCTCGAGAAGCTCATAACCACGGTAGAAGGCACCTCTTCACACCACAACAGGAGAGAGAATGAGTGCCGAGTGAAGGGGGAAGCCCCTTATAAAACCCTCAGATCTCATGAGAACTCGCTATCACGAGAACAGCATGGGGAAACCCACCCCCATGATTCAATCACCTCCACCTGGTCTGTCCCAGGACATGTGGGGATTATAGGAACTATAATTCAAGACGAGATTTGGGTGGTGACACAGCCAAACCGTATCATTAACATTGACTTACTGTTAGTACAAGAGTATTATTATGCTCTTATAAATTGACTGCCAGATCAAATGTGCCCAGGGGTAGCAAAAATTTACAATCTTTTTGATGCATCTGTGCAGTGTGCCTAAGGGAACAGAGTCCAGAAGGTTCAGAAAATCAAAAAATCTTCAGAGTTGGAATGATTTGGCCTCTAAGAGGCCTCCAAAACTTTGGTCTGTATGAGACTCACCTCTACAGCATTTCAGGCCCTTGCTTATTTAGACCCTGAGGAAGTCCAGTGATGGAGTCTTCAGAAAGCAGCTAGGAGTTCGGAGTCAACTCTAAGTGACATTGTCATTTTCCCTCTCTTTATATGCTTCTGAAGTTTTCTGCGTTTCCCTGTAAATGTCTATTTATTTTCTGGCCCCCATCATGCTTGCCAATATTTCTAAAAAACTGCCATTTCTTGCCAATTATTTTATTCCTGGATACTTGGTTCTTTCAAATTCAGTTTAACTATTTATCAGCTTTGCCTCTATACTGAATACACCCTAGTTTGTCAGTATCTCCCTACAAACTATAGCCCTTGGAATGAATGCCCTCCAGAAGTAAGAACTCAGTACCCCAGTGAGTGGCTAAAAGACAGAAGGGCCTACTGTCCAGAGCGTCACCATTTTAGGAATCTGACCTAAAATTTTACTTGGGCTGTCGGGCTGGCTTGCCTGTCTCGACATTGCACTTATAATCAACTAAAGTCCATGGGCCTTTTCCTTATGAATTGCTACTAAGTTTTCTCCATTATTTCTTGTCTAGCTTGTTGTTGATGTTTATTTTGGACCGAAGTGTAGAACTTTTACATTTATCAATCTTACACATCATCTTATTCATTTAGGCCTGTGTGCCTAGCTTGTGATCTCTCAATTCACATTCTCTCTCTACACCACATCCGTCATCCCGGGCTTTCGCTTAGCAGCGTAATAAATAAGCTGACCCCTCTGTTTACATCAAATCCTTGGAGACAGATGTTGAATAGATGAATGTGACTCAGGGATCACAACTGAGTGTCTACTCTGTGCCAATGGATAGAAAAATAAAAAGCTATAGTCCTTTGCCCTAGAGGAGCCCACAATAAAGTAAGGGTGACAGACACAGAGACAGGCCATTTTCACACCGTGGAATGGCAGGGGACTGTGGGAACACAGAGGAAGGATATTTAATCCAGACTACAGGGGGAAGGCACTCAGAAAAGCTTCCTCCTTGAATAGACAATGCCTGGCCTGAGTCTTGAAAGATGCATAGGAGTTATCCAGGAAAATAAGAAAAGCAGGGTTATGGGTGGAGTAGAGGAAAGGAGCTTTCTGAGCAACGTGACAATAGTAATGAGTGTGTGTGTGGCAAAAGCACAACTCTATTACTGGAGCTGAAGTGGGAATGAGGACACCTTGGGAGAAGTCTGGAGGGCTAAGCAAGGGTCAGGTAATGGAGGTCTAGTTTTCTAGACTAAGAAGAGGGAGACATCATTTGTTGATCCAAGAAACACTTACAAAGCCTCTCTGTACACCCAGAGTTCTCTCTCTACAAACTGGAATTAATCCCTTAATAAACTGCATTTTGATGTGACCATTTACCAACCTTTAAATCTTCCCTGTTGCATCTATGCAGCAGCCATTTTGTCCATAAAAACATGGTAGAGAGATCTGTGCTTTGACAATTCATATATAAACACAGAACATCTACAGCATAACTCATTTTCTCCTCTACTAACCTCATCAGTGATGCATAATGAGGTTCTTTGCCATAGCTTATTGTTAGGGATCACTTTTAAGCTCTCTTGGTATTTGACTTTCAGAATCTACGTTTAAAAGTTTTTGGGTTTTCTTTTTTTTTGGAAAATGACATATTTGCCCATCTTCAGTCTGTAGGTGTCTCTCATGTTCTCCATGATTCTTTGAAAGTTGCCAATTTGATCCATGGTTATATCTAAAGACACTGGGATGTATAAAGCTTGGTTTGGAAATACAGTCTGGTGATTTCATGGTCATTCATAGGCTTCTACACCTACAGTTGAAAGATAATTCTTGATGGATGTCTCAACTGACTTGGTCCCTTTAACAGCTTCCTCCTTGCATGGAACAGCTCCCTCCTGCTGCCAGGAAAAACCCTGGCACCAGGCCCTTTTTCACAGTCACCTTAGCATCAGGAGAAGAGGCAGACATCAGAAGCCAGCAAGTCCTTGACCAGATGGTTCTGTTTTCTCTCTCTCCTTTTTAAACAACACTTTATCAAGCAATCAGATGGCTCCTTCTTTGGTCTTCTTGCTCCAAAGACAGCTGGTTCAAGGCCAGTTTTATTCTTGGCACTTTCGTGACCCTGAAAGCCCATTATTCTCAGGTAATAGTATTATCTCAATTCATATGGACAGTATGAAAGTAGATTTAGCATATGTTTCAACAAATAGCTCTTTTCAGAAGCCCTGCTCCCTTCTCCCTCCTCCTATGGCTTTGCCTGAGCATCTCCTGGCTACAAAGCCAGTTAATGTGAGCCTCACAAGAAGGGAGTACCTCCTCCCCACTTAGATCATTGCATCCTTGTCAAACATGCCTGTCAAATACTCTCTCGACAACCCCTGTACACTCCCATCCCTGGATACTACTTCTCCTATCACCACGATCAAGAGTAATTTATGGTTCTGCTACTTAGTTAGAATGATGCTTGGGTGCCGTAATTCAACAATGGCTTTGTTGTCTTTACAACAATTATGAATACAGATTACAATTTTCATTGTGGGCCAGGCATGGTGGCTCACTACTATAATCCCAGCACTTTGGGAGGCCGAGGTGGGCAGATAATTTGAGGTCAAGAGTTCGAGGCCAGCTGAACCAATGTGGCAAAACCCTGTCTCTATTCAAAATACAAGAATTAGCCAGGCGTCATGGTGCATGCCTGCAATCCTGTAATCCCAGCTCTTCAGGAGGCCTGAGAATTACTTGAATGTGGGAGGCAGAGATTGCAGCAAGCCAAAATCATGCCACTGCACTCCAGTTTGGGGGACAAAATGAGACTCTGTCTCAAAAAAAAAAATCATTCTGGCAGCACTGGGTTGCTCCATTTAGGACACAGAATATCTAGTTGTACCCAATACTAAAACAATATACATTACCATTAGAAAGTATGTTTGCTCTTGGGCTTAAGGGAGCTTTTATTTTACTTTTAAAATGATAGTCCTAAGTAAAGGTTCTAAGTGGCCGGAAGAGTTACAGCCTTGATTAAAAGATAAAAATGATGTCTGCTAACTTCAGCTTACTCTCACCCAACATAATATTATACTCTATTAGCATGTTTTAAAAACTGCTGTGAATTTTCTGATTTTAAAAATTTGTTTTGGTTCTGCTCCCTTTATTTGAAATATAGGGAGCACCAGGCACTCCAGGTCTTCCAGGCCTCAGAGGTGATCCTGGATTCCAGGGGTTTCCGGGTGTGAAAGGTACTGCTTTTGTGCATTGCTCTTTACATGCAAATACAACCTCAATTCATATTTTGGGGCACACAGCGTTTGCTGAAGTACAGACAGCTGGGGGCAGTACAAATAGGAACTCGATATGAATGAAGACAGAATAATCCACTACACTATTTCAAGATTCTTTAAAATAGAGTATTTCTCCAAATCATAGCTCTTCATAACCTTCTTTTATCTGTGTAAAAGACTGCGACTGGAAGAGAAATCTTACCACTTTATTAGTTCATATCAAATATTCTATAGTACTTAAGAGAATTCCTGACATAACTCTAGGCTCTTAATAAAGCTAGAGTAATAAGCTGAGAAAGTAGGTAACTATGACAACCAAGCAATATAATTCAGCAGATGGTAAAACAGGTTTTAATGTGACTTTGTATCTTACCTTAAATATCAAACTGGTTTCTGAACTCAAAAAGTGAACTCTTAGCAACATTTCCCCTTTAATGTTAAAATACAGGTCCTTAATGCCCACTTCTAGAATATATTTCCTCACAAACTCATTAAGTATGACCTCCTGAGTCCCAGTGACATGCCAAAACCCATGTGAACAAAATGAAATTGTAGCCCTTGTGACAGAACCCACGGGACAGAGCCTCCAGGCACACATCTAGCATTTACCCTTAGAGTCAATCATTATCAACCTGAAGAACTAGGAAACCCATTGATCTAAGTGGAATCACATTGTTTTGTTGTTGTTGTTGTTGTTGTTTTTAGGAGAAAAGGGTAATCCTGGATTTCTAGGATCCACTGGACCTCCAGGACCAATGGGGCCAAAAGGACCACCTGGTAAATATATTTCCTTACTTTTACTCTCAATGAAGAAAAGTAACGCATCCATGAAGCCATCATCTTCTTCTTACGTTTATGTCAACAGGTATACGTGGAGACCCTGGCACCCTTCAGATTATCTCCCTTCCAGGAAGCCCAGGGCCACCTGGCACACCTGGAGAACCAGGGATGCGGGGAGAACCCGGGCCACCAGGGCCACCTGGAAACCTAGGTGTGAGACTGGAAGCACTGACTTGGATCACTAGGAAGTGGTTGAACCAAAATACCTGTACACTGCTTTGGAAACAGCTGATACAACTTCACAAAAAATGTTGAACATGACGGAAGTGGTTTTCACAATCAGCCTTAGGATTGAGCTTATTTTACGCTTGTCCAGCAAATAAAAGACCTTGGAATCTATTGAGAGCTGTTGTTCATAGTATAACTTGAACAAATACACTTTAGAGCAGCATGTTTTTGTTTTTTATTTTTTATTAAGGTAAAGGTATTATGTCTATTTCCTATGACAACTGTCAGTCTTAAAGATCTATTTCTAAATGATTGTATATACCTGAGTTCTGTGAATTGATACTTTTCCAACACTTTGTACAGCAAAGTATTAGGGGAAAAAATGATTTAGAAATCTTTTCAAAATACTGGTGTTTGGAAATTGAACTTCATAAGCATAGCATATTGTAATAGGCTTCTGAATGAAATGATCATGCCTTAAGTTTGTCTGAATCACCAGGGAGATAAAGATATTACTTGTTAGTTTGATCAATAACAGGGACATAGTCAATTCTAGGAGAACACAAATCAAAATTGCAGCACAATTTTAAACTGCTACATTTAGTATGCTCATAGTTCATTTTCAAGAGTCTTTTTTTCCTGGGAAGTAGGGCTAACAAGTTAGGTGACTAAATCATCCTATCTTCCCCAGGACTGAGGATCTTCCCAGGATGCAGGATTTTCATTCCTGTAACTGAGAAAGTCCTGGGTTAATGGGATGGTTGGCCACATTACCCTTCATCCTATATGATAAAATGCAACGCAATGTTGGTTTCTGCCTAGGACCCTGTGGGCCAAGAGGTAAACCAGGCAAAGATGGAAAACCAGGAACTCCTGGACCAGTTGGAGAAAAAGGCAACAAAGGTTCTAAAGGACAGCAAGGTAAGCACCCAGCTTGTTTCCTCACTGAAGAAATGCTATTTCAACATACAGAGAAGCCTTGTTCAAGTGGGTGACTACACGAGTTAGGTCTTTGAGTTTCTGTTGTTCAGATCAGACCAAAGGCCAGGGATCAAATGTTCATTTGGAATATGAGAATCAAGAATTACAGGAACACACTATTTTTCCTAACTCTGAGCTGATCAGATGGGCTCCAAACTGATGCATAATTTAGCCTGAGAACAAATAGAACTAATAGGTCCTATGGGTGTTCTTCTTTCAAAAAGGCCAATACCTGTTTTTAATAACTTGTAGGAGTTGTTAGCTAATAATTATTATTTACAGGAGTGGTACATAAGTATGTAGCTAGAAAAATATTACCTTGGTATGAGCGGAAGAACAACTTAGTATCCTTTTTGAAGAAAGCCATTTTTTAAAATGCCATTCTTCATGGTGGCAGGTGCCTGTAATCCCAGCTACTTGGGAGGCTGGGGCAGGAGAATCACTTGAACCCTGGAGGCGGAGGTTGCAGTAAGCCAAGATCACACCACTGCACTCCAACCTGGGTGACAGAGTGAGAACTGGTTTCAAAAAAAAAGCCATTCTTGAACAGAATTCAACAATTCATGTGCGTCCTAAAAAGGAAAAAGGGCCTCTTAAATATAGTGTTTTATTCTGAACATATGCTGTGTCAGTTTGATACCTGGATTAATATCTACCTTCTGCAAATGTTTCAAAGCACTCTTCTGGAAACTACCTTGATGTCCAAATCTTCCATTTTTAGGACTGCTGACTTTGTTAAAGAAAAAATTCTAAATGTGATTTCTAAATTTACTGACACACATTATGCTCAGATCTACCATATTAAAATGGTAAAGACTGTAGACTTAAATTTTTAAAAATTCAAATATATTAATAATATTATAATATTAATTGCATAATTATATATGATTTAGTATTGTCATGGGTGCACAGTAAAGTACTATTAATCATTCAACTTTCCTTTAATGACCAAGGCTTTAATGTCCTAAGAATGGAACAACAGCAAGAGCAAGGGTACTGCAATACAAATTTTGTTGGGAATTAATTAACAAGTAGATAGTTCGTTCAATGCTATGGAGGCCTCACAAGGATGATAAAGGGATCTAAGAGTCAAACTGCATTGGCATAAACTGACAGCCTTGGCCCCTTTCTTGGAGACACAGAAATGCCTTGGCTCTCACACATTTGCATAAAAGCTTACCTCCAGTTCCTGCCCTGCTCAGTTAATCACTTTCCAATTCCTGCACAGATATCAGGAGGCATCATTTGTTTGGGGCCAATTATAGCCCTCTCTGAATGAGGGTAGGGGTTAGGAAAAGAAGAAAATGTGCATCCCCAATATATTAAAACTACGGCAATTTGGATTTTTCAGGTAAGACATCAGACTAGAGAATTTGGATGTGGCCTATTTTTTAATTTCAAAAAACAGCTCCAGGTCCCTAGAGGAGACAAGAGTGAGCAGAATTCAGAGAAAATTGAAAAAAAAAAAAATGTATAAATAATACTGGGGCTTTTACAAATGTTTGTGAAAAGTCCTGACTTCTGAGTCAGGACTAAACTGTGACACTGCCTGACTCCCAAGGGCATGGATGTTTGTGGGCAACAATATTTCCTGTGATGGTGTAGGCCCAAAGTATAACCATCTCTGCTTCCTTAGGACCCTAAAGAACCATGGCCCAAGTCTGATTGCGGAGGGAGTCAGGGTGCAGTGGCAGCACAAATGGATGGGGGTGAGGAGGTGGTGGCCAATGCAGGTACCATAAATAATAGCTGTTCAATGAAAGAAAGGAGAAGGAAGTTCAAGAGGAATGAAAGAGAGGATAGCTCACTGGTTCTCATTTAGAATGTCACAAGTGTGGATTAGACTTCTCCAATTCTATACTCCGAAGTATAGAAAGTTATTCTCCACAGAGAGAAAAAGTACAGAAACCATTTACTTTGTTTTTAACTCATACAAATAAAAGAAACTAACCCTTATTACAGTAAAAACAAAAAACAAAAAACAAAAAAAAGTCTTCTCTTCTTACTTGCCTTACAAATCGATCAAAACTTTCTTGAAGTTTGAACCTTTAAAAAGAACTTTCAATATTTTCTGCAATTGTTTGTTGGAGAAATAATTTGTGAATTTATCAAAACCATAATTTTTAAATTATCTACTTGAATAGACTTGAAGTTGTAGATATTTGATTTTCCCCCCATCACACTGTAGGAGGATTCATTCATTTATTCATAAAAAACATACGTAAGACCTACCACTGTGCCAGGCCTCACAGAGGAATTGAAAGATAAAGACCTGATCTCAAAAAACTCATCAGATACACACAAAGATTGATAAGAAGAGGCACTGTGTGATAAACTGCTTAACATTTAATAATAGAGTTTGAATTTTTATAAGCCACTCTTCTCTAGGATTTCTTTTAATATTTGGGGTTCAACAGATACACACACACACACTCTCTCTCTCTCTCTCTCTCTCTCTTAAATCAGTACTTTGAAAAAACGGGTTTAAGATTTTGTGTTGCAATATTTAGAATGTGTTTTTTGAAGGACCACCTGGATCAGACGGATTCCCCGGTTTGAAGGGAAAGCCTGGAGACATTGGATCACCCGCAATCTGGACGAAGAGAGGTTTTGTCTTCACCCGACACAGTCAAACCACAGCAATTCCTTCATGTCCAGAAGGGACAGTGCCACTCTACAGTGGGTTTTCTTTTCTTTATGTACAAGGAAATCAACGAGCCCACGGACAAGACCTTGGTAATGCCCCAGTCCTAGTTGCCAGTTGTGTTGTTCCACAGGCAGATTGTAAATCTTTATAGCCTAGGATGCTTCCTTCTGAAGTTAAGTGTAAACAGCCTTGACTATCTCCTGGCACATTTTAAAGAGAGCAAAGAAAACAACACTGGCCTAATTTTCATTCTGGAATGTAAAATGCTGGAAGGAGCGTAGCTTGGGAATGCTAACCTAGCTCCTCCCATTCAATACAAACAATTTGCCTCTAAAACCCCCAAACCACCTGTCTGTGTTTATCTTTTTGGTGTTTTTCCTTTTTTTTTTTTTTGAGACAAGGTCTTACTTTCGTCACCCAGGCTGGAGTGCAGTGGTGCAATCACTGCTCACTGAAGCCTCAACAGGCTCAAACAATCCTCCCACTTCAGCCTCCCAAGTAGCTAGGACTACAGGCACACACCACTACACCCAGCTAACTTTTTTGATTTTCAGTAGAGATGAAGTCTGGCTGTGTTGCCAAGGCTTGTCTTGAACTCTTGAACTCAAGCAGTTCTCCCTCCTCAGGCTCCCAAAGTGCTGAGATTACAGGCGTGAGCCACCATGCCCAGCCCACGCATCTGCTCTTTAATCTCACAAATAACATCTTTTCTAAACCTTTATCTGGTTATTAGCTATTATGTACATATGAATAAGTGGAAATACTTTGAAGAAAAAACACTGTCCCAACTGACCTATGCTAGCCCCCAAGTTCTAGATCAATTAGAAAGGGCCACAGGAAGTATCAAAGGTGGGAGAAAGAGGACTTGTTTACCTATCGGATCTTTGATTTCTATCAGTATGAAAACTTTTCAGTACTTTGCAGATAACTCTTTTGTGTTGTCTTTGTCCGGTTTTTGCTGCAGGTTATGTTTTAATTAGCTTCTCTCTAGTAATGATGACAAAAACAACTTTAACTTACTGAAAGTGATACTCAGTCTGATGTTTCATTAGGAACTCTTGGCAGCTGCCTGCAGCGATTTACCACAATGCCATTCTTATTCTGCAATATCAATGATGTATGTAATTTCGCCTCTCGAAATGATTATTCATACTGGCTGTCAACACCAGCTCTGATGCCAATGAACATGGCTCCCATTACTGGCAGTGCTCTTGAGCCTTATATAAGCAGGTAAAAATCCCATCCCTTAGTTTTACAATGGGACCAAGTGAATCACTTCCCTTAGAATGTAAGGCGGCACGTTGCAGTGCAGAAAGTGGCCATGCCGCCAGAGTCTCTGTTTCATATTACAGATGCACTGTCTGTGAAGGTCCTGCGATCGCCATAGCCGTTCACAGTCAAACCACTGACATTCCTCCATGTCCTCATGGCTGGATTTCTCTCTGGAAAGGATTTTCTTTCATCATGGTGAGGAGAAAAGGAATAGGAGGTTTACAGTAAAGACTAACTATAGAATTTTGCACTGTGCTTGGTCACATGTGGTTCCCAGGATCAATGCTGCCTGGTATCAGTATGTGCAACATGTTGAATACACATTTTCTTGAAAATCTACAAATACAGTTTTTTTTTTTAATTTTGGTAAATAATGGAGTATTAAAAAAGACCTCTCAGGAAAAGATTACCTACAAATTCTATTATGGCATTCAGGTGAATAGTAGCTGCCATTTATTGATAATGGAATGCCTCTTTTTAAATTATTTTTATCTTTTGAGACAGAGTCTCACTCTGTCACCCCAGCTGGAGTGCAGTGGCTTGATCTTGGCTCACTGCAACCTCTGCCTCCCAGGTTCAAGTGAGTCTCCTGTCTTAGCCTGATGAGTGCTGGAATTACAGGCATGCACCACCACACTGGCCTAATTTTTGTACTTTTTATTTATTTTTATTTTTTAGTAGAAAAATATTTTGGCCAGGCTCGTTTCAAACTCCTGACCTCCAGTGATCTGCCCACCTCAGCCTCCCAAAGTGATGGAATTGCAGGTGTTGAGTCACTGCACTCAGCCTGGAATATCTATTTTTTATGTGACAGCTGCTCTATATACAATCTCTGTAATTTTTATGAAAATGCTGAAAAGTAATTTCTATCATCTATAGTTTTACAAACAAGAATGAAGCAATTTCCCCAAGGTCTTACAACTATTTAGTGGAAAAGACAGGATTTGAACCCAGGTCTGTGTGCTCCAAAATCTTTGTGCTCCTTTGACATTCATATGGAGATAAAAGTAAAGAAAAACAGCCTTTTAAAGAAAAAGCTTTCAGATGTAAATGCTAGTGAAGAAGTCTATGGACTGGCCATATGTGACTGTGATGATTGTTAACAGCTGCACACAGGTAGTTATTTCTTTTTTCTTTTTTTCTTGAGACAGAATCTCCCTCTGTCATCCAGACTGGAGTGCAGTGGTGCCATCTTGGCTCACTGCAATCTCCACCTACTGACTCACTGCAATTTCTGCCGCCTGGGTTCAAGCGATTCTCCTGCCTCAGCCTCCTGAGTAGCTTGGACTACAGGCACATGCCACCACGCCAGACAGGCGTGTTTCACCATGTTGGCCAGGCTGGCCTCAAACTCCTGACCTCAAGTGATCTGCCCATCTAGGCCTCCCAAAGAGCTGGGATTACAGGCATGAGCCACCGTGCCTGGCCACATAGGTGGTTATTTCTAATCTGTAGCATTGCTTACAGTCACCTTCTTTACTCACAGTCACCCATTCATTCAAAAAAAAAAAAAAGTACAGAATTGAAAATGTGAACCCCAATGGACAGAGTGTTTATTCAGATTTTTTACATTGTGGTAGTTCACAAGTGCAGGTTCTGAGGGCGCTGGGCAAGCACTGGCCTCCCCTGGCTCCTGCCTGGAAGAATTCCGAGCCAGCCCATTTCTCGAATGTCATGGAAGAGGAACGTGCAACTACTATTCAAATTCCTACAGTTTCTGGCTGGCTTCATTAAACCCTGAAAGAATGTTCAGGTAACTATTCACCATCAAGCTTAATCTGATGACATGATTGCAGAACTATTCAAAGGTTGCCTATGTTTTTGTGTCAATGAGTAGCCATGATCTTGTACAACTGTGCCAATAAAGACAAAATATGTGTTTTGTCATCACTAAACACATTTAACATTTGTGTGTAAATTTATAGTAAATTCCTTGATATAACCACTAAATGATTGTCTCATCTGAATTTACTGTATTGAAAGACTTGTGAATAATGTGGATTATTTAAAGGGTGGGAGTAATTTTTATTATTACAAAAACGATGATATGTAAGTTTTCATCAAGGCCTATGTTTCTTTAGTACTGCTGAATATGACTAAAATTATAAAATGCAACCATATATAGCTTTTTAGAAATATACTTCTTCCAAAAAGAGAAATAGTCCTATAACAAATTTTTTTCTTTCTTTCTTGTTTTGTTTTTTTGTTTTTTGATTTTTGAGATGGAGTCTTGCTCTGTCACCCAGGCCAGAGTGCAGTGGCACAATCTTCACACACTTCAACCTCTACTTCCCAGGTTTAAGTGATTCTCCTGCCTCAGCTTCCCAAGTAGCTGGGATTACAGGCATGTGCCATGACACCCGGCTCATTTTTGTATTTTTAGTAGAGATGAGATTTCACCATGTTGGCCAGGCTGATCTTGAACTCCTGACCTCAAGGGATCTTCGCACCTCAGCCTCCCAAAGTGCTGGGATTACAGGCGTGAGCTACCACACCCAGCCCTGTAATAAATTTCAAAATAGTGACAATATTCATTAATAAAACTCAAACTCAGCAAGTATTCCATTTTATGTATAAATCGATGAGATTTTTTTGGTTTGTTTTTATTTCAGAAAGCCTATTCCATCAACTGTGAAAGCTGGAGAATTAGAAAAAATAATAAGTCGCTGTCAGGTGTGCATGAAGAAAAGACAATGAAGCTAAAAAAAGACAGCAGAACTGCTATTTTTCATCCTAAAGAAGGAAGTAATGACAGAGCATGCTTTCAGTTAGTATTTTTCTTTACCCAAACAATATTGCTCCATGGTGATTTAGTAAGAAGTTTCAGTTTGTTTCCTCACAGAACAAAGCAGTTCTTCCAAGTCAGTTCTGTGATCTGGGTCTCTAAATCTGTGCTGTGTCAGAGTTCCCTGTGGCAAGGCAGCAACTATTCACAAAATATCACCAAAAACCGATTCCACTTGTATCCAAGGCACTGTCACTATGGTGACTGTATGAAGTCTGAATGCTACAAGTTGTGAAGTATTTGGTCCGCTGGGTTCCTACATTTCTCCTCTTCTCTTCCTGTCTTTAAAACTCAGGGAGGCTAAATCAGCGTTTGACTGCCCTGCCACCCCTTCCTGAAACTTCAGACCCTGGGTAGGGGGAGAGAAGGAGGGATGTGGTATCCAGGAGCATCATGTATAGAACTGGACTTTCAGACCTGCTGAGGACTGTAAGGCCTGATGGAACACAGAGGTGAACTGAGGTTCATGGATTTTTCCAGGACTGTTTCAAACATACCCACAGCGAAGGGCAAGAGGAGGGTTCCCTGATGGGATCATAAAAGCCTTGGAAATACTGTATGGTTTATTTTGTTAGTTTTTCAAGATTTTTTGTTGTTCATTTATTGACTTCATTTCACTGCAGCACTAAAGTCTGCTTATATTCAAAGCATATAGCATTTTCCCCCTTAGTGAATTAGCTTTCAAAGGATATTAGTACGTACATACTATGAAATATGTGTAACTTTAAATTCTCTTTTACCAGCTATGAAATGTGCACTTTATGCCCATCCCATAAATGTTGGTACATACCTTACACAATGGAGCAGTTCAATAATCCACTGAAAGAACTTAAGGCATTTGTTGGTTTATCAGACTCAGAATCTATTTTTTCATTGCTCTGAATATGTCATCATTCTAGGTTTTACAGATTCATTCCTTTGTTACTTCTCTAATTCTTCCTTTGTTAAAAAAAAAAGCAACACTTTTTGTTATATATTATTACAAGCAAGTTGAAAGAGTCCATTGTTTAAAAATCTTAATGTATCAAACAGTATAAATTGGCAGCTGTATGTCTTAAAACTTGCTTTTCAATATGTTGATACATTCCCAAGGTTACTTAATTCAACTTAACAATCATGTTATTCAGCACCAAGCATGTCCCAGACACTGTGCTAACCTACAGAGATGCTAAGAGAAAATAGAAACTTGTTTCTGATCTAATATACCAGAAAAAGCGAATCATTGCTATACTAAGAATCTCACATATACAAGAAGCTTCCCTCTCTCTCATTTTCTCTTCCTTTTCACTGATTTTCTACTTCATCATGATAATTCAGCAGGCCGAAGTAAAGGTTAAAAACAAGGTCTATGCTTAGGGAAAACCCAAAACTTCTATTTCGCTTCAAAAAAGCTAAGAGAAGATAAGGTCTGAATAATAGTAAGAAAACAAAGGTCCACAAACATTAAACTAGTGTTTTACTTGAGCATAACACTATTTGACGACTCTTAAAAGTCCAGACATCAAGAAACAAAGCTTTGAAGACGCTTCTTGATCGACCTACAGGAAGTTGGTGGTGCCGATATTTAAATTCAGGCTATTGCTTCAATCTCAATTGCTCTGTAAGTGAAAATGTGGCCCAGAGGACAGCGCAGACTATGGCCATGGTTCACATGGTTTACATCCTTCACTGTTCACGTGACTGCTGTCAAGCCATTTTTACATGTAAACTACGATATGCAGCATTTCCCTTACTTAGATTCACTTAAAAAATAAATTTGTCTGCTTTAAAAATGTCTTATTGTCCCAAGCATACTATAGTGGCATATAGAACTCGCTAATCTCTACAAACTCTCCGCAGGCCAGTAGTTCTCAAAGTGTGGTCTCTGGAAGAGCAGCATCAGCATCACCTGGGAACTTGTCACAGATGCAGATTCTAGGAACCACTCCAAACCTACAGAATCAGAAACTCTTGGGGGAGGGCCTGAAAAACCTGTGTTTTACCAAGCCTGCCACATGATTCTGACGTACTCTAAATACAGAGAAAGACTGTTCTAGACAAATACCCAAGCAACAACTCCACAGGCAGTTACCCGATACGGCTGGCTACAACTGCTCTATCCATGTCTCTTTTTAAAGTTCAAACTCACAGGTGACTCTAGGGTCATCTACTCTTACTTATAAGTAAAAGCCTTAGACTGGTGCTAATGTCAAACCGCTGGCCTCCACTCAGGCCTCCATCTTCTCATGCCCTCTTATCAGTATTTAACTTCTGAGGAAGACAAGTGATGCTAAAACCTGAAATTCCAGTGAAGCCATATGAACCACTGTTCAGTCATACTTCTAAGACTTACTTAGAAGAACTTCAGCACTAAATTATAGCTAATGTGCATGATTGTCCAGGTAACTATGAGTAGCTTATACAATTATGAAGATTTAATATTACAGGTAAAATGTAAACTGTTCCTTTAAAATTGGGGCTTCAACTTTGGAATTCCACAGTGTGTTAAAATAACACTTCTCAGAGGTCTTTCAGCAAGATAAACATTATTAAGTAACTTATTTATAAAAGTATTAAAACAATGCTTACATTTGAATTTGATGGCTAACTTACAAAGACTTTTCTGTGTATCAAATGTAACTTACTGCTACTAAACTTAATTTAATATTTACTGTATAACCAAATGAAATATATTTAAAATATATTGAATATTTTATATTGTTATATCCTGACAAGATTATAATATTTTAATGTACTAATATTTCTGTAATTATATCTAAAATATTATTTTATTGTATTGCCTAAGAATAAAAAATTTTAAAATTAAAACAGGTCCTCTTTTTTCAAAATGAAAATCAATTTTTTTTAGGATTGTAAGAACAACGAACGTTCACTGTAAAAAGAACAGACAATACGGAAAATACAAAGAAGACTATGGCCATGATCTAATCCTCACCCCCATCCAAGATGAGTGATAAATCTATTTTTAAACAAAAATGACATAAAAGGATGCTATTTTATCACCAGGTTTTTAAAAACTTAATACATAGTGGATACATTTTCACACCAACAGACAGGAATTAATCATCATTTGCACCACAGTTCATTGTATGGGCTTGTAACCTAAGGCAATGAATCCCCAATGACAGACATTTAATTTAATTATATTACAGACATATTATACGTGTGTCACCACAGGTTTGTCCAATCATTTCTTTAGGATAAATTTCTGGAAGGAACGCTGTAGAGTCAAAGGTCTCACATAATCTTAGGCTTCTGATATATATACAAAAATGCCCTCCAGAAAGGTTTCTAGAATTTTTGGCTGCATCAACCATGTAATGAAAACACTCATTTCCCTATGAATTTACCAATACTGAATACTGCTGTTTTTTTACATCTTTGCCTATTTCATTGCATTGAGGCAGAATATCTGTCACTTTTAATTAGTGTTTGTTTTTAATTAAAGAAGTATTTTGATAATTGCCTGTTTCCCTGTGAAGGACCTAATCATATCTTTGCTCATTTTTCTATTGAGGTATTTAAGAAGGCTTTACAAATCGGTAAGAAAGGCATACAGATTACAGAAATTATGGGTCATATATTTTCATAAATGTTTCCCATTTATAATACAAATACTCCTTATTCAAGGAAAGCAATTCATAAAATTTCAAAAGAGAGTTGGTAAAGAAAATGGTTTTTAATACACAAAATACAGGATGGGCACGGTAGTTCGTGCCTGTAATCCCAGCACTTTGGGAAATCAAGGCGGGTAGATCACTTGAGGTCATGAATTCGAGACCAGGCTGGTCAACCTGGTGAAACCCCATCCCTTTTAAAAACACAAAACTTCTCTGGCCGTGGTGGCCGGCACCTGTAATCCTGCTACTAAGGAGGCTGGGGCAGGAGAATGGCTTGAATCCAGGAGGCAAAGGTTGCAGTGAGCCAAGATCATGCCACTACACTCTGGCCTAGGCAAAAGAGTGAGACTCTTGTCTTAAAATATATATATATGTAAAATATGAAATATCAAACTTTCAGGCTGCATTAAATGACAATAAAGATATAATCGAGGGAAGAAATGGAATGAATAGATGGTGATCCTGGGCAATAATTCTAAGAAGACTAAGATAATTCTAAGAAGACCAAGAAAATTGTTGCTCACATAAATACTTTAGAAACACTGTCACTGTCACAGGTGGACCAAAATAATCTAATTTGAAAACACTTTGAGTAAAAAAGTACTAATCCATTTCAATGAACTTACTTTATATATACGTATTCTTTTATTGCACTTTAGGTTCTGGGGTACATGAGCAGAACATGCAGGACTGTCACATAGGTACATACATGGCAATGTGGTTTGCTGCCTCCATCCCCCCATCACCTCTATCTGGCATTTCTCCCCATAGTATCCCTCCCCAACCTCCCTATCCCCTGCTGTCCCTCTCCTAGTCCCTCCCAACAGACCCCAGTGTGTGATGCTCCCCTCCCTGTGTCCATGTGTTCTCACTGAACTTACTTTTACTTCAAGTAAGTCAAAAAATGAATGCTGTGTTTGGGCACATTCTCTTTCTATTTATAAGCTCATTTGGAAAAAAAAATTTTGATTATGCCCTCATGCAGGAGACTGACAAAAAAAGTGATCGCCTCCTTCAATTTGCGCCATAGGCATCTAACTCATCTCACCCTAATCCCAGCTCTGCCTACTAGAAATTAACAGAAAATCAAACACAGAAGAAAAAGTAATTGGTTTTTAATAATCAGGCTAAACATAAATATTTAGATAAATATGATCCTTCCTAGAATTTTGTAGACTCCATGCTTCTTCTAAAAATGCTGAATGCTCAAAACCTCTTTAGAATATTGCTTTGAATTATAATTATATCTTCAATTCCAATTTTTGAGCCAAACAAGAAGCTAGGTCTCATTATTTTATATTGAAGACCTAGAACATGTTTCACATGTTTGGTTCCACAGCATATACTTAGATGAGTGAGACACAAACCCTGGTCGCAAATGTGGAGTTTACAATCTGGTAGGGGAAATCAGACAAAAGCATGGATAACTTTAATACTAGACAGAACATGATTAAGGGACCACAAATACTAGTTCAAAAGTTGGAGGACTCGGGAAAGAATTCATAAAAGAGGGGCTATTTTCAGTATTCCTTTAAGGGGAGTTAGGAGTTCAAGAAGCAAAAGATGGTCAGAATCAGGGTGGCATTCCAGGTAGCAGAATTGGCATAGATGAAGCTAAGTAGTTAGGAATGGATGAGGCAATCTCAGGGAACAATTAACAGTCAAGAATATGTTACATATATTTATATACAGACACAATGGTAAGTAAAGCAGCATGGCAGGAGGTTAAGACCATGTCGGGCCGAGTTTAGAATACCAAGCTGAACTTGTACTTCATTGATTGCCACTAGAGATTCAGTGAAGATTTTGAGCAAAAAAGTGGAATTATTATATAAACAATAACCTGGGAGATCTAATATTTAATATATGGTTCTTGTTAGGCTATTTTATAGTTTCAAACTTTTTTTAAAAAAAATTGCTTTTATGAACATTTGGATTAAAAGATAACTAGAAATCATCAATTTCCTTTGAACCTGGGGCTTCATATTTGAGATGTTGCAATTTGTAAACACAGGTTCTATGTAGACCCAATGTCTAAGATGAATTAGAGCAAGAAAAATATTGGAAATGGGGAGGCCAGTTGAAAGGATAACAGCCCAGATGATGGGTGATCATCTAGCAGTAGGAACAAAAAGGACAGATAAAGCAGAGAGCTGGCACTGAAGAGGGAGCATCTAAAGGATGAAAGATACTAGGAAAAATAAACCATTTTACCAAAAAGACACATGTTCATCACAGCACTATTCACAATAGCAAAGACAGGGAATCAACTAGGTGCCCATCAACAGTGGATTAGATAAAGAAATTGCGGTACATACACTCCATGGAATACTACACAGCCACAAAAAAGAAAGAAATGATGTCCTTTGCAGCAACATGGATGCAGGTGGACCATTATTCTAATTGACTTATCATAGGAGCAGATAACCAAACACCACGTTTTCTCACTTAGAAGTGGGAGCTAAGCGTTGGGTACACATGGACATAAGGATGGCAACAACAGATACTAGAACTACTAGATGTGGGAGAGGGAGATGGGGGCAAAGGCTAAAAAACCACCTAGTGGGTACTATGCTCACTACCTGAGTGACAAGATCATTCACACCCCAAACTCAGCTTCACACAATATACACATGTAACAAACCTGCACATTTACCCCTAAAATCTAAAATAAAAGTGGATTTAAAAAAAACAAAGGATGGTGTGGCTAGGCATGGTGGCTCACACCTATAATCCCAGCACTTTGGGAGGCCAAGGTGGGTGGAGGAGTTTGAGACCAGCCTGGCCAACATGGTGAAACCCCATCTCTACTAAAAATATAATGAGATATAGATAGATAGATATATAGATATTATATACATATATATATATATTTGCTAGGCATGGTGGCAGGTACCTGTTCTCCCAGCTACTCAGAAGGCTGAGGCAGGAGAACTGCTTGAATCCAGGAGGCAGAGGTTGCAGTGAGCTGAGATGTTCATTGCACTCCAGCCTGGGCGGCAAAAGTGAAACTCTATCTCAAAAAAAAAAAAAAAAAAAAAAAAAAAAGGTGTATGTGTCAAGAAATCCCTTATAAGGGGTTTACTGTGAAAATTGGCTCATGCAATTGTGGAGACTGAAACATCCCATGATATGCTATTCCACGATATGCAGCTCCACAAGCAGGAGAACCAGGAAAACCGGTAGCATGGCTGAGTTCAAGTTTGAAGGCCTGAGAATGTGAGGACCACTGGTGCAAGTCCTAGAGTCCAAAGACTAGAGAATCTGGAGGTCTCATGTTCAAGGGCAAGAGATGTATTCCAGCTCCAGAAGAGAGAAAGCAAATTCGCCTTGCCTCTGCTTTTTGTTCCATATGGGCCCTCAGCTGATTGAACGATGCCTGCCCGCATTGGTGAGGGTAGATCTTCCTTACTCAGTCCCCTGATTAAACTATCAATCTCTTCCAGCAACACCCTCACAGACATACCCAGAAATAAAGCTTTATCAGTGATCTTCATACCCTTTAATACAGTCAAGTTGACACCTAAAATTAACCATCACATGGGACTTGGGTGACAGAGAAAGGTAACTTCAGTACTTTGAACCCTAATGACTAGAAAAATAACCCAGCCATTAATTGAAAAAAAGGAATTCAGGAGACGGTATCTGGAGCAAGAAGAGGATTTCATCTTGCTCAAATTCCTACCCACCTGGTCTAGGGAGTCATGCCCTACAATCCATAAATTCTCATCAGATGGGTTTTAACTCTATATATTGCGACTTATTTTCCAATCCGACTCTGGCATAACATTATGAGACAAGAAAGAAAATCAAAATATTTTACCCCAAAACATGTTTTCTGTTTTTGCCATATCTTGAAATGGCCCTGCAAAGCTGTCCTTTGTTGGGGGGAAAATCTGCATCTGTATAGAATCTCTATTAACACAGCTAGATCATTTTCTTCCAGGTCCTGCCAATCCTAAAGATATTACTTAGGAGTCTAGCACCTTTTAAAGATCCGTATAGGAAACATTTGTCAACTATTGTCTCTAAGGGCAGCCACTGTGAGACTTCAAAAGAAACTTGGTCTCCACAATCTTTTATTTCAACCTGAACATTTCTTTTCTGTGCATCCCAGGTCTTCAAATGTCAACCAGAAAATGTTTAAATTTACCTGCATGGAAGCCCCTGCTTTGAGTTGTCCTGCCTTTCTGAACCAAACCAATGTATTTGTTAAATGTCTTTGATTCATGTCTCATCCTCCCTAAAATATATAACACCAAGTTGTTCTCCAACCACCCTGGGCACGTGTTCTCAGGACCTCCTGAGGGCTTTGTCACGGGCCACGGTCACTCATCTCTGGCTCAGAATAAATCTCTTCAAACATTTTACAGAGTTTGACTCTTCTCCTCAACATCAGTTTAATTCTTAGGCCCACCCAAGACCTCAAAAGAGAGGAGGAAATATTTTACTCTCCCTCCACCAGTGTTCAGAAGCCAAAGAATGCAATTCAGAGGGCTTCCCAAATCATTTGGAAGAATGATAACATCTCTAGAGTATCAATTAGATTGTAGAGGAGTACATAAGTCATGTGTACACCTTTAGGTGTTTGTGAAAACCGAGGTATGCAAAATACTTCATTATTTGGTTTCAGTTCGCTCCCAAACTGGCAAGCGTGGTACCGGGAGCTCTGAGCAAGGGCTTCCTGGGGGGAGAGTCTGGGGTTGGGTGGTCAGATGCAGACGGCGCTCTCCCAAAGCTAAAGGACGCTGCCAACGACAGTGAAACCTAGCTTCCCCTTTCTCGGTATTCTCATGGAAGACAAGGTCTGATCATCAGAGGACTTAAGGAGTCATCAAACTGGAATGCATGCAACCACTCGTGGAGCTGATTTACATAGAAGGATCCCTAAGCCTCAAAGCATAGAAATTTTGATGCAGACGGTCCTGAAAAAGTCATTTTAATTGGCTACCGAAGGTTTACCTTGCAAACACCAGGTTCTTAAAGATGACAGAATCTAATCAAGCCGAAGCGTGAATTAAACTTCACGGAAAAAAGCGTTACCTCGGGTCAGTTCGCTTCGCCCACAACAAAGATGTCTGCGCCTCGCTTATCACAGCCCCGCTGCTGTGCGCGGGCCCCACGTCCGCCCTTTTCCGCGTCACGTGACCACGAACCCGCTTCCGCTACGGCTCCCTGAAGGGGCCCGCCCCGGCCTTTCGCGCTTCTGCCCTGGCCCTCTGCGGGCCGCTTCTCCGGTGGGTGCTGTGCCTGGGCGCCTCCGTGCTCTAGGCCAACGGCCTCTGAGAGCGCCCACTCGAGCGCCCCGGGAGTCGGAGGGCGGCGGTCCTCGCCGGGACCCTCCTGTGGGCCCAGGGGTGAGTGCTGACGTCTCCCCGACCCGCGACCCGCTGCCCGAGCTGACTGTCGGGCCTAGCGCCGCCGCAGAGACCCTCCGGCCAACCGAGGGACCCGCGGGGGCCCGGGCCCGCCGGGAGTGTCTCCCGCCGGAGCCGCGTCCCCGGGCCTCTTGCCTTCAGCCCTGCCCTTTCCTCCTCCCCGGGACCTTGCGTCCCCGAGGAGAGCGAGCGAGAGAAGCGCCGTCTTCCGCAGGTGTTTTGGGCTAACCTCTTCACCCTGTGTGGTTCGGCGTTCCGTTTTGTGGTTTAATCCGGACTTTTCCGACTAGAAACTAGGAGTCTGGGAAGCAGCGGGCGTCCCTGCCCTTCTCTGCCAAGGCCCTGACACCTTCCAGTATGACCTTAAACCTGCCCTGTTTAAAAGGAGGTTTTTGTGTTGTGTTGGGGCCGGTTCACGTTGGAAAAGAAGGGCCTTGTCGGAAGCCCGGGTCGTGGCATCACGGGTGGCTGCGGGCCCCCCTGTCCGTCTGTGAGCATCCTTGCTCGCAGGTGTGGCTTGCAGGCAGTTGCTCCTCGGGTTTCTTTCCTGGAGCAGGGAAGCTGCGGTTTCTGAGCTTCTGACCTTTCTCTGCAGGACGTGTGGCATTATTGTAAAAGAAGACCTCTGGCGACGTCCCACAATGTTACAGCAAAGGGCATTCTCAAGGAAAGAGCACCCTTTTAAAAGTGACATGTTTTCATTGCAGATTAAGAATAAAGCTTTCTGGCTCTTCTGCCCAAATATAGAACCATTTGTATTCAGGCCTCTTATCCACCAAGAAACTTAGAATGCTTACGAATGTTTTCTTTCCCTGGGTGAAAAACGTTTTTTCTGCCTCAATTCCGTGGGCTAATGAGATCCCAAAAGAAAAACTCTTAGGAAAATTAGGACGATTTAGTTATACTTAGTAGTCTTTTCCCATGCAATTAAATTGCTTGGGGGGAACCTACTATCTTACGGTTTCAAAGGCCTGTATTTTAGTTCTGCTGTTATTTCCAAAAGGAAATTGTGTTCTTTTCCTTCCTGTCTGATAGAGCTGTCTCCTTTCAGAAGTACAAAGCTTAGTTGTGGCTCTCCTCTCTTCTGGTGTTGAAACTTTTCTGTGGATTCATAGCCTTATTTTAAAGATCATTAATATATAGTTTTCAAAGTTTGCAGTGACTTTTTAAATACCGTTTTTTTGGAAAGAGAACTGGAACAGGATGTGCAGAGAGGCCCATTTATGTGAACTAGATTCACACAGTAGGTGATGAAGAACTGGAGTTGTTTTGTTTTTGTTTTCAGTTAGTAAGTATATAAACATTTGCAACCACAGTCAGTTTGACTAAGGTTGTTTCAGTGACTTCCTAGGCTTTCTGGGTTCCAGTGTTCTAATGTAGAAAATGAGAAAGTTGTGCTAGAACCTACATTGTGTTCCAAAATGGGTACACGTTCCACTAGTGATATGTGACTTGACTCTAGGCTGTATGTGGATGAGGATTTTTTTTGTAATAGGATGTTTTTGCAATCTGTATTTATATATGTACAGCCATGATTTAAGGTAGTGACTAAGAATTTTCTTTTACAGTACAGTTAATTTAAGATTTTTAAAAGTGGGCCAGGCACGGTGGCTCACACCTATAATCCCAGCGCTTTGGGAGGCCAAGGCGGGTGGATCACGAGGTCAAGAGATCGAGACCATCCTGGTCAACATGGCGAAACCCTGTCTCTACTAAAAATACAAAAAAAAAAAGTAGCTGGGCATGGTGGCACATGCCTGTAATCCGAGCTACTCAGGATGCTGAGGCAGGAGAATTGCCTGAACTCAGGAGGCGGAGGTTGCGGTGAGCCGAGATCGCACCATTGCACTCCAGCCTGGGTAACAAGAGCGGAACTTCGTCTCAAAAAAAAAAGATTTTTAAAAGTGGAGTTAAAAAAATTAACTGTAGCTAAAAGTAAATGTACTCTGTGAACATGGGGGAGTGGGGGAAAACCATGGTAAGTTAGTTACTGGTGTTTGGGAACCGCTGAGCTTAGAAAGTAGATATCTGAAATCATCTGTGATTCTAGGAGAGATTTTTGTCTCATTTGTTGTGTTATACAACAGAAGCATGTACTGGTTGCCTACTGGATTCTAAGTTACAAAACTTCTGTAATTAACATAACACTAAATGAGAGGTTTATTTATTGCTAAAAGATATTATCAGAAATGCCACAGCCTAAGGAGGGAGAAAAAAAATTAGATTTTGATTGGTTTTAAGCAGAAAACCCAATAATTGGGATAGTACAGCGTTAAATCTTAGTGGAAAAGTTCCAGTTACTTTTTAAATTTAAGTAGTTCAGCTACAGGAGAATTTGGCTTTTTCCAGAAGTTGGCATTTTAGTGTCCACCTTTATTTTCTAAGTGAATGGTTTTTTTTTTACAAACTCAGAGGTTCAAATAAGAAAAGATGTTGCTGGCCGGGTGCAGTGGCTCACGCCTGTAATCCTAACACTTTGGGAGACCGAGGCAGGTGGATTGCCTGAGCTAAGGAGTTCGAGACCAGCTTGATGAACACAGTAAAACTCCCTCTCTATTTAAAATACAAAAAATTAGCCAGACATGGCGGTGTGCGCCTGTAGTCCCAGCTACTCGGGAGGCTGAGGCAGGAGAATCACTTGAACCTGGGAGGCAGAGGTTGCAGTGAGCTGAGATTAGGCCGCAGTGCTCCAGCCTGGGCAACAAAGCAAGACGTCTCCAAAAAAAAAAAAAAAAAAGTTGTTGCTGTAGAATGAAGTAACGAAGTGTACTAGTGAGACCTACGGGATGTACTAGTAGAAAGTTCATAAGAAGACTGAAATGCAATGAATCAAATGCAGAGAAAGCACATTTCAAGGAGATACTGAGATTCTAGCCACTTTCTTCTCGTTTATTACTATAAAACTTCAATTTATAATGCCCCAAGGCTATAAGATTTTTGAGGTAGCTCTTTTCAATGTTAGTTCTGAATATGAGCTTTAACTATGTTGGAGACACAATTATTAGAAGAGCATCTCATCTAGAATGATGCACAAAAATTGATTATAAAGGTTGCCTATGGGAACCTGGGTGGTTAAGGATAGGACTGGAAGTAGGACACTTCCTTTTCTCTGTATATCTTGTGTATTTTGTACCAAGTACATGCATTACTGGTTCAGAATTTTAACATTTTAAGTGAATGAAAATTTAAACAGGCTGGGCACAGTGGCTCACACCTGTAATCCCAGCACTTTGGGAGACCAAGGCTGGAGGATTTCTTGAGCCTAGGGGTTTGAGACCAGCCGGGGCAACATAGTCAGACCCTGTCTCTACAAAATTACAAAAATTAGCTGGGTGTGGTGGCATATGCCTGTAGTCTCAGCTTTTCAGGAGGCTGAGGTAGGAAGATTACTTGAGCCCCTGAGATCAAGGCTGCAGTGAGCAGTGATTGTTCCATTGCATTCTAGCCTAAGTGACAGGAAAAAAAAAATAATAAATGCTTTTGTTCCTTTTTAACATATGTGTGTATCTATATACGTATATATACCTAAGTATTAGCTTCATTTAAACTTACGTATTTTTCATCTGCCACATTTTTCTAAATACAAATCAGAGGCCGGGCGCGGTGGCTCATGCCTGTAATCCCAACACTTTGGGAGGCCAAGGCAGGTGGATCACGAGGTCAAGAGATCAAGACCATCCTGGTCAACATGGTGAAACCCCGTCTCTACTAAAAATACAAAAAATTAGCTGGGCGTGGTGGCGCGTGCCTGTAATCCCAGCTACTCAGGAGGCTGAGGAAGGAGAATTGCCTGAACCTGGGAGGCGGAGGTTGCGGTGAGCTGAGATTGTGCCATTGCACTCCAGCCTGGGTAACAAGAGCGAAACTCTGTCTCAAAAAAAAAAAGAAATACAAATCAGAGACAATGACAGAGCTAGTCTTTTATGTTGCCTTGCCTAATGAATAGTCATAGGGCCCATCTGTGGGTTAAGATTGGTGGTAAGCTTCATTTTTTTCTTTCTTCTTTTACTGGTCTCTTGATGTCAGCTTGTGCATCTTTGTGACTGTTACCATTTGGAAAATTTCCAACAATGAATCCCTAGTGGGTATCATCTAGTTTCTCAATTAGCCCCTGTTTTTCTTCCCCAGGGACAAAAGTGGCTCTCAATCCAGCACATGCACACTGAAGCAAGTTAAAGGATTTAATATGAAGCACAGAAGCAGATAGTGCCACATAGCGAGCAGTAGTTGGTACACATTTGTGAGTAAAAATTGTCCCTTTGGGCTTATTTTCTTAGTCTTTAAATCATCTGCATGCCAAATCCTTAAAGATCTATGTCCCCAGAGATGTTTTGATAAAGAATGAAAGACATGAGTTAGCAGTCATAATCAAACCAGTTGCCGAGGCTGAGTGTCCGGAGCAACCTCTAAGAGCTCTTCTAGGTATCTGAGTGAGGCGGTGGCTTAGGATGGGGCTATGTCTCCAGCATGGAAAGTCCCCTAGCCATGGTTAAGTCATGTTTGCTGTCTTTAACTTTTACGCCTTTAATTGATATATAATGTCTTTGCTGAAAATTTAGTGTAATTTCCGTTTGAAGTTTACACTAAATTTTGAAGTTTATTTAAAGAAACTATTACACATCAAATTTGTAGGCTACCTCAGTTATATTTAGTTTTTCCCTTTGTTTTCCCTTCATGACTTCTTCATTTGGGCTTAGTCTAAAAACA